TTCCTCTGGCCCTACAGGGCATCTAACAGGGAATTTACCCATGGGACAGCAGGATGGCTTTTCTTAGCTGCTAGAGATTTGTGATCCCTCACAAATTCCTTATAGCAGTCCCTGGGCAGCCAGGGCTCTGCAGTAGAAATGATTAGCCAGCAACCAGAAAGAAAGGTTGCAGAAAGAGCAGAGAAAGAGCAAGCCTCCAAAGAATTTGTGTCTGCCACCAACTTTAGGATTTCTTTCTGCTCACTGTACGGCTTCCAGAAAAAGCTGGACACAATAGGGCACCAGCGTGAGTTAATCCCTTCACATATAAAATCTCTCCATAGCTGCCCACTCAGTCACAAGGCAAGAAAACAACAGGTACATTCAGCTTTAATGAAATAATCATCAGTTCTATGTACACCTATAACAGAGAGAAAACCAGCTACAGAGAGGATGCAAACACAACCCTGGGCACAGAGTAACAGTCTCAGGGCAGGGCTGGACCAAAGCATTTCTGCCATTCTCCTCCTCCTTTGAAGACGTGTTTCGCCTAAAAGGCAATACTGAAATAACACGAAATCCTCCCGAAACCGCTTAGTGGGCTGACAGAAGATGACAGCCTGGCCCCACGGGGTCTTTTCCTGTTTATTTACTAGAACTTGGACATCCTCCTCCACAGCCAACCCCAGCAGGGCCGCACAGCAGCCCTTTGCTTGGCACCGACCTACCACAGTGCCCAGTATAATTCCATAAGCAACCCCCAATATCAGTATGGCTCTTCTTGGGTGCTGCAGCAGCTCCAAAGGTACATCTAAAAGTCCTTTAAAAGTCCCTTTCAAAACTATGGCGAAATATCTGGAAGGACCAGTATGAAGTACAAAGCCATTAAAATTGTACACACCGAATTATCGATATCTGATAACTTAATAAATAAATACACAGAAGAAAAAGAAGACACTTTTTTTTTTTTAACATCCTCTGATTTTTCTTAAGTTTTACTTGCACAGAAATGAGCCGTGGCTCTCGCTGCTCACAGTCCTCTCGTAACAACAGAGATGCTTTATCAAGGTTTAAAATGTGGTTGTGCACCAGGTACTAGGGACATGTACAGCCCTTGTATTTTAGCAGGAATCCAAATCCTACGCTGGGAAGGGAAATCTCAGCGCACCACCCATGGTCAGTGAGCAAGTGCCAGGCGCGGCTGCTATTTCTGTATCGGCTGAGAAATACGCAGGAGAATTTTCTCAGAGGAACACACTGCCTTGCCCACAGCTGGACATAAATCCCAGCCATGCAGACACAATCCCAAATTATTAAAAGGCCCCTTTCTCTTGGAGGTCTTATAGTGGGAGGCGGTGCTCACACACACACACCATGCCAGTGCAAACCCTCTCGGAGCAGGGCAGTTCATGGGTTTTGATGGCAGTGGGCTTGTCCAGGCATTTTCCAGCCATGTCCTCAGGCCCTCCATGTCTAGATTTTTTCCCTGAGGACTTCGGTAATATCACTCCAGCATTTCACTGCATGTTTCAGGGCGAGCTACATGGCGTGCCAGAGCCGGCCGGAGCCCGGTGGCAGCGAGCCGGGCATAACGCACGTTTCCCAAGGGATGCCTGGGCTGGGATGAAGGCAGGCGGGCTTTGTGGCGAGCGGGGAGCGGTGCAGGATGGCTGCCGCCAGCACCCAGGGACGCCAGCAGCGCCCAGACCAAATCAAAGCAATTCCAGTGCTGGCAGAACATTGCAGCTACCCAAACTATGCTGACTGCTAACACGCATGCAGCTCACTGCTATTTATATCGCATGCCATATATATAAAAAAATATGCTACATCTGAGGACAGCTTCACCACGACACCAGGATTGGGAGGGAGGACGGCCAGGGAGGGGAGAGGAAAGAGGCTGCCTGCAGCAGGCACTGCTCCCGCCCAGCCCACGCCGGTGATGCTGCAGGGAGTTTTTGCCCGTTGAGCTTAATGGTGCAAGAACAGGCCCCCCTGGAAGCGCTGTCGCTTTCCTGGCATCTGTGCAGCCCGGGGTCAGCAAGGCGAGCGGCTGATGCTGTGCTTTAACATGTCTGGAGATGCACAGGCTGCTCGTGGCAGGGGGAGAGGCCGAATGAAGAACACAGAACACTGCTTGCTGCAAACCTGCGGCTTCACACGATGTGACAGCAACGGTGACCGTGGCTTCTGGCGCCTGTAGGTAGCAAATGCCTACAGTTCACAACACTAAACACTGGCCTGAGCCCTTCTGACAGTGATGTCTTCATGTTAACACTGCAGTTGCTTTGCTCTCCCTCATCTCCAACACACCCCAGGCAAACCTGCAGCTGTTTCAGCGTGCCCCCGAATCCTGCCCAGCAGCAGGTCGGGCACTCGCTGCCTCTCAGGACCTTTCTTTAAACGCATGATATATACAGATCTACAGCATGAACAGTGGGGGAACCTGGCATGGGTGGTGGCAGAAATGCAGCCTTGACATAAATATGCCAATAAATGAAAATACAGTCACTGTAACACCTTCATTTTCTGCAGCTGCAGTCAATGGTGTTATCTGAGGCCCCAGGGGACACAGTGTATGTAGCAGGGTCTGCCCACATCCCAGGAGCCATTTCACATAGACACACAACTGAATGGGCATGCAGAATTAACTACACCTTGGCCCTGGGAGCCCTCTGAGCTCTCCACACACACACCCAGGCCAAATGGAGCTTTAAATCACTCCCTCTGCTCTTCCTCTTGGGGGCAAAGCTGCCATCACAGAAAGCTGTTGTGTTTATTCTGTTCCAGGGCCATTTCATTGACCAGCTGCTCTATGGATGACTGAATGGCCGCCTTCACGAGGGAAGAGGCAGTTTCTATGAGGAGCAATTCGTACTGCTCCCCAGTTCTGTGCCCCTGGTCGCCCAGACCTTTGTCCTCTGCCTGGGGACCGCCACCAGCCTCAGGGCCCTCTTTTTCACCAACATCAGCATTCCGGTTGGATTTTTTATTCCCTTTTTGCTTATTTTGGTGCAGAACTGGGGACGGCTCGTAGGCCTGGTCAGAGTCGGTGTTGTCAGAGTCCTCAGCTTCAGTGATGGTGATGACAATGCCGACGCCGATGCCGGTGCCTATGTTTGCCTCTGATGTCACCTGATGGCTGGAGCATTCCTGCACACTCGCTCCATTGTCTCTGGATGCTGACTCGCTGAACTCTGATACAGTCTCCTCAGCTTTGCACTCCTTGGGAAGATTTATGCTCTTCTCTGATTGATCCCCTTCAGGCAGCTCTGTGCAGATATTGGGGATTTCCTGCAGTTCGGTGGTTTCAGGGGCACTGTTGGGTTGATCCTTGGAAACAGGTGCTTTGGGAGCTTCCCTGCTCTCCACATCATCTGTGGTTTGGGGTAGGCTCCCTTCCTGTAGTTTGTCCTGGGCTATTTCATTAACTGTCTCTGAATCAGTTATCTCCAACTGAACGGTGCACTCTGTACGTTCCTCCGTGTCAGGTGTGGGCTCTGTCAAGGGCTCACTCTTCTCAACAGAGTTGTCACTTTCCTTTGCTGTATCCTGGTCCTCTTTCACTGTATCCTGGTCCTCCTTCACTGCAGTCTGGTCTTCCTTCTCTGTAGCCTGGTCCTCCTTCACTGCAGCCTGGTCCTCCTTCACTGCAGCCTGGTCCTCCTTCACTGCAGCCTGGTCCTCCTTCACTGCAGCCTGGTCCTCTTTCACTATATCCTTGTCCTCTTTCACTGTATCCTGATCCTTCTTCACTGTAGCCTGCTTCTCCTTCACTGTATCCTGGTCTTTCTTCACTGCAACCTGGTCCTCCTTCACTTCAGCTTGGTCCTCTTTCACTGCAGCCTGGTCCTCTTTCACTGCAGCCTGGTCCTCTTTCACTGCAGCCTGGTCCTCTTTCACTGCAGCTTGGTCCTCTTTCACTGCAGCCTGGTTCTCCTTCACTTCAGCCTCATCCTCTTTCACTGCAGCCTGGTCCTCCTTCACTGTAACCTGGTCCTCTTTCACTGCAGCCTGGCCCTCCTCTGCAGAGACTGGGCTGAAGGATTCAGATTTGTCCGTCGGGGCCAAATTCTCTGGCTCTTCACTGGCTTTGTTCAAAACACCCACCACTTCGTTTGCTTGAACACTGCCGTCCGACTCCTCCACTGCTTCCGAGGGGCTGGGTTTTTTCTTGCTTCTGGAGAACCGCACGCAGGGCATCTTCACCCCAGAGCTCTCCCGTTTCTTCGGGAGGTCTTGTGCACAGCTCTCCTCAGCATCCACCTCCAGCTGCACTTGGGAATCGGAGGGCACCTTCTTCCGTGAGGCAGATTTCTGCCTTCTCCGAGGCCTCGCGAGGTTTTTGATGGCTGCCCAGGCTCCTTTGGAGGACTGCGATGGACTGGAAACTTTTGCCTCCCCTTGGTCGGCACTGACACACTGGCTTTTCTCCTCTGAGGCTCCTTCACACGCACCCTTCACAGTCAGCCCCTTCTTACAGGGCTTCTTCCGCTTCTTAAAACAGAGCATGGAGGGTTTTTCTGCTTGTTCCTCTGGCGGGGAGCACGTCGCCCCTGTGCTGGGAGTCTCTACCTCCTTTGGGTTCTCCATTTGAATTTCCTTAGCTGCCCTCACCACATTCACTCCTCCTTTGCCTGCGTTGTAGTAGCGATTTTCTTGATCGATGCCTCAGTCACAAGAACTGCAGAGATGCTCAAAGTGCATTTTTTCCTCAAATAGTTCTCCAAATAATGTTAGTTGCTTTGTAACGAGCGGATGTGGCAGTGAAAAGAAGTTCTGCTGGAGCAATCGCATCTGCTTTATAACTCCCGCTTTGTCTTATTACTCACTTGATCACCTCTCCAAGGAATCCTGGGCAGACGTGGTGTTGAACAGGCTTCTCCTCGGCTTTGCTGGCCACAGTCACTCTCATCTCCGGAATAAAGCCACTCTAAGTTGTTCTTGGTCTAACAGCAGCGACTATATAATGGCCAGTCTGACATACTTTCTTTTTTCCCCCAAAGGATGACAAATCAAGCCAAGAGTTAACAATTTTTATTCACCCCACGGACCTGGAAGGAACTTGTACTTTGTGAGCTCTCTACGATTCCACATTGCACAAGGGAGCTTGATTGAAGCACCAGTGGAACCAGTGGCTGTTTTCTGCCACCCAGTGACAAGGTCAGATGCTGCGTTGCCTTGGCTTTGCTTTCTGCTTCAGTTCCCCTCAGAGGTTACATGAAGTTTGCTGTGAAGCGTGATCGAGGCTTCATCTTTTACCTGGAACACAACAAACAAATGATAAGACCTGTAGAGCAATTAAAAAAAAAATACTGAAAACTTTTTTTTCTCTAAATATTTCATTTTGGGAGGCAGACTGAATGCACTATAGCAGTTTATTTCCACTAATTGGCATCAATATCCGAAGACAAAATTAGGCCACAAGATGTCAACCCAGTGATGTTCCACCACAGAAAGTACTACTTTGCTATTTTATGTGGTAAAAGGGGACTTTTTTTATATAACTTCCCATATTATGGTGAATACATATTACACATGCACATACATATATATTTTTCCTATGGTTTGCTAAATCTTTTCCCCACTGCTCCATATGCACTCATAGTTCCAGCTAGGGAAATTACACCCTGAGACAGCAGATATTTTTATCTTTAATGCACCATATGACAATATGCAAAAACAGAGAATACAAAAAGGAGGCTTGTGGAATACAAAAGCCAAATCACATGGCAAGAAGGGAGCTTATTTATACTACGTGCATGCCTCCCATAGCAACCTCAATTAACACCGCGTGTGCTCATCAAAGAGGTGATGTTGTAAGATGTGTGTCACCCTTGAAAAAAAAAAAGAAAAAGAAAAAAGGGAAAAAAATAAAAAAAAAAAAGGAAAAAAGGAAAAAACCCCGCTGCCTCGAAACATCATCAAAACGTTTTGGGATGGAAAGATGCAAAAATGTGTTACCGCAAACAACTTCTGCAGGATGGGCTCGGGGGCTCCGGGCAGGGCTTTTCACGGCATTCTGCACTCTGCTTTTCAGGAGTAGGGTGATTTAAGGGAGGCTCCGGGGCGCGCTTCCCCCGCAGCACATTTGGGGTTTTACAATTATTATAATTATTATTACTATTATTTTAATTATAATATTTTAAGGGAGAACGAGCGGAGCTGTCAGAGCCGTGCGAGCGCGCACCCGCAGCTCCCGGTGCCCCGAGCGCAGCCCGGCTCCGCCGCCCCCGCGCCCGGCAAGTTTTGGGGGCGTTCGCGGGTGCGGAGCAGGAGCCGCTCGGCACCGCCGCTCCCCCGCCCTGGGCAAGGGGAACCCTCAAAGCCGGACCCCTCCGAAGGGATGGGCACCGGGGGGCTCCTCGGGCAGCGCCCGCAGCGGCGGCCCGGGAACCCCACGCGTGTCGCCGCCCCCGCGGGTCCCCCCGAGGCGGTGCCACCCCCGCGCCCCCCGCGCCCTCACCTGCATCCCGGCCCATCCCGGCCCATCCCGGCTCCGCTCCGCGCGGCTGCGCTGCCGCCGCCGCCGCCTCCGCCGCAGCCGCGCCCCCCGGGCCGGCGGGGAGGGCGCTGCCGGCAGCCCCCCGCCCCTCACCGCCAGCCCCCGGCCCGCCCCCCGCCCCGGCCCCGCTCCGCCGGCACCTGCTCGCAGCCTCCTTCCTCCTATGGGAGAGCATCTCTCCCTGTTCGCTGATCAGCATCCCTTCCTTGTGAGCGTCCCTCCCTGTAGCGGGATAGCACCGCTCTTCTGGCGGGCGGCATCCTTCCCTTCTGGAAAGGCAGCATCCCTCTCCCGCTGGCAGAGTAACCTTTCGTCCCCTCCCAGGCTGCGCACAGCGGCAGCAGACACGAAAACCACGAATACAACTCGGGGCAAAGGTCTTCCTAGGAATCGAGCTGTGGTTTGTAGATCCCAATGCACGGGAAGGGAGACGGGTGTACACCACGCAGGGAGGAGGGACCACTGGCGTTTGCCTGGCGGTGTGGGAAGGAGGGCAGGGGGTCTTGCTCTTGGCAGCTGTTTTTCGGGTCCCACCTGAAACCCACTTTAGCACACACCGCTGGGGGTGCTGCAGGAGCTACACCTTCGGAGGTGGAGGTAAGGACAGCCAGCTCTTGGCTTTAAACTACTCCCTGCCCAGAATACCAGAGGAAGTGCCTCTTTCATATAAGCTTTTTTTCTGTCCAAAGCAGCTGAGGTCTGACTTTAAAGAAATCATGTCTCCAGCTCTTATGATTGATGGGAGAGCCTCTGGAGAAAGGACTACCAAGTGCAGCTGATGAACTACAGGAAACTATGGTTGAGATGCCTGAACGTCCCCATTCATCTCCACGGGGAGCTGACTGACGCCCACAGAGGTTTTGCAGACATTAACTGCTTCACAGCGTGTTTGCACATAAGCAACTGGGCAAAGCAGCACTTTGAACCTGCAAGTGGCTTCCAGTGTAGGCCAGGCTTAGAAAAATACACATGGCCTCCCCCCTCTTTGGCTTCTTCACGGGAAAAAAGGCACAGAATGGGTTCGATGGGCTGAAATGTCAGCCAGGAGGGCAGAAAAGTGCATTAAGCATCATGAGGAATTGCCTTTTTAAAAGCTCCCCTGTGAGATGTGTTTGCTTGCATTCACTCAGGATAATAATCTTCATTTGGAAACGGCTTCTCCCCCGGCGTGGGCGGTGGGTTCTAATTACAATCCACTTCTGCATTAAAGCCAAGTGAGGCCCCTCAGCGTGAGGAGCTTTTCCCTCCTTGCAGTCGGAGGCAGGAGGGAGGGGAGGATGCAGCAGGAAGGGGAGTGGATAATGTGAGGATGGGGAATGTGTGCACTGCCTCAGGGGTGGTGTGATGGAGGCAAGCTCCCATCAACTCCATTTTGGGAACACTTCACATGGAATTCAATTATTCCTGATGCTCCAGGGGCAGATGGTGACACCACAGGCTGTGGTCCAAGGGAAATAAATAAAAGGGTCTGCGGCAAGCCTGGGATCTGGTCAGAAAAAGTTCCTGACCCAGCTGGAGCCAGTTTTCTTTCTGGGCCTACAAGTGCTAGTGACGTGCAACAAGCCAACCAAGCAACAGTCTCCCCTTTTGCCCCTTGCACTACTCCAGAAAATAAATCTGTGTTACATGACGTGATGCAGGACTCTCATTACAGCACAGCTCGGGGGACGGATGGTCATAACACCAACTAAGGGCTCTGGGCCCACAAATAGTCCACAGAGAACAAATTCGTACATAATTAGTTTTTTCTCTAGGCAACAGGAGGAGAAGACAACCTTCCAGTATTTAGTTAGAAAAAATTAAGTGTCCTCTGTGTCCTATTTGAAAGGACAAGACCTAGCTGGCATGCTTAGCTGCAAAGGAGAGAGTTAAAAAAACAACCTATTTATGTATCATCTCTGCAAGACCAAGACCTGGGAGAGAAGAGATCACATCCCAAGGGATTTAAAGTGCAGGTTAGAAAACATTCCCCTCTGGAAACGCTCAGGGTGATTTTTTTGCCCTCAGGGCTATTTTTTGGCCCTCATGCCTTGTTGCCACCAGTCCTGCTGTGCGTAGCCAACCCTCAAACAGCTCCTGCCTGATCCGGGGCTGTGCCTCACTGCAGGAGGTGGACTAGCAACCTCTTGAACCATCTCTCTCAAGCACATGGCTGTGATCTCATGCTAAACTAAAATGAGGCTAATCTTCGCATAAATTTGCACTTATCCCATCTTTCATAAGCATAAAATGAAGGTGGAACGCAGAGCACTTGCAGAAAAGCAGTGTAGCAGGGAAGATTAAATGTAGGAACTGACAGCAGACTTGGCAGCATCCACTCTGGCAACCTGCTTGGAAGGGAAGGCTCGGCCGAGGAGCTGCAGGTGAAGAGGCCCCGTCACCCAGGCAGGGGGCTGGGGCAGCCATGGGGGAACAACCCTTTCAACCCCCTGCAAGGGCCCCGAGTGTGCTCTGCAGACCTGGCTGCCAATAAATCCTCACCTGAACACTATCAAAAGGAAGATTTTAGAAGGTTGTGAATGCATCTCAAATGCTGTTACGACTATTTAAACTGTTCTGTCTGCCTGTGTCACAACCAGGTAACTTTTGTATAATTATTCTCTCCTCCTGAATAACTGAAGAGATATAATCTCTCTCTCCATACACACATACACACACACAATATCTGTGTACTACAGATGCTCCCCTGCATTGGTGCACACCTACATCCTGATCCTCCCAGTTCTCACCAAAATCAGAATGTTTTTAGGTTCAGTTCTGATACAAGAAGATGGGCCTCACAAGTTTTAATTCAGATATTCTGCAGTCAGCTGCAAGTACATCAAATTCATCGAATAATTCAGGTAGTTTATTTCCTACAGATGACATACATCATCTAGGGAAGGAAACCAGATTAAATGCACACACACCCCCTGGTGCATTGCAGGCAACTTATTACTGCAATAATCACTCCTACTTGTCAATACAAGGATTGCTGCTTCTGTGCAGTTAATCACAGAAATAAGTTCTAATTCAGTAATCTCAATGCATACATTAAAACCCAAAAAGTTGAAGTATTTGCCAGTTTATTCGTATTAGTTTAAAAAAATCGGCAGCAACACTATCTTCATGTTACAAAATGATTTTTGGCCTGTGGACAAAACCTGCTACCACTCACTTGATCACTATTTGCATTGTCTCTCTTCACCAAAAAGGTACCTTTGGAAAAAAGGCTTGTCAGTGGTGTAACTGCACTTATTGTTGAGTATAAAATGAGGCAAAAGACACAGTTGGTACAGCCACAGTTATGGGCCAGAGATCCAGTCCCTTCACCTCCGATATCCAGGTTTCATTCCATTAGCAGTAAAATATAGTAGTCACAGCTGGGCTTTCTAACAGGGAAATCTGACATGGCTCAGGTGCCTGCAGGAATGATTCATAGCAGAAGGCAGGGCAAGCACTTCCGGAGAGAGATGAGGAGCGAAGGGGATTCCTCCCTGCTCCCTCTTTTAAATGACACTGGCGCAGTTTCAGAGCACAGCGGTTTCCCCCTCAGTGCGAGAAGTGGAACAGAGAACTCAGGATGGCAAATGGGAAACGGCAGTGTACAAGGCTTTCAAAGATAATATATGCTACAAAACCCCTATGGTTAAGACAATTAAGTCCCAAGACTGTTTCAAAGAGCTCCAGCTTTAGGATTTTTAATTATTAAAATCATGTCACTGAATCAAAAGAGGTCACTAAACCCAAGCTTCTGTATTCTGCTTCAGCTACAATTTAGAAGCGGGAGGTCTGTAGAGGAAGTGTTGTTTATATGCTCAGTGTGGACTAGCTTGGAATGCAGCAGTACAAAAATTATTACAGATTAAAAGCTAGTAGTCGATTCTTCAGCACTCCTCCTTCCAGTCAGTTCTTTCACTACATTCTCAGTCATATCTTGTTCTGACTTAAAAAAAAAAGATCAGGGCACAAGTTCCATTTACATGATTCATCAGGTGTTCTTCTGGGAGCTAAAAACAAAAATAAATTTAATTACTATTATATACTACTGCAGGCAACTTTCAGGCTGAATTATAATCAAATGTCATTTGGAGACATATGGCATAATATGGGATTGGCTTAACTCCATTATCTCAAGATGAGAAATAAAGCCCAAATATTGAAAGCCTTCAAGAAGGCACCTACCTTTGGTTAATTATTCCTTTCAGAAGAGCCCATTTACTCCTCCTGACACTGGGTCCAAGTCTATATCATAGAAACAGGGTCTTGTAGGAAGTCCTGGCATAGTGCTCATCTGGACAAGAAGAGAGAGAATGTTAAAATGGCAGCAGGATCATTTTGTGCCCAAGATACTGAAGACTACGATGGCAACAGCCTTGCACATGAACAGACCAGCAGGATGCTGGTCATGGACCCTTTTGAAGCACACTGTGAGAACCAGGAACTCCTGGATAAGTAGATAGATCTGAGGTTTTTCCTTTTTATGATGAGGATTCAGTTTGGTTTCTGCAGCTGCCAGTGACTGAGCCCAAGATTTGGCAAAGTACTTTGATAATCAGCTGACCAGGTCACTGTTAGAGGAGCGTTCATGGACTTCGCTGTGGTGAGATAATGACTTGTGGCAGTTTTCTGGGTACCAAAGTGAGGATACATGTTTTAATACAACTTTGCCGACTGTAAAGTCTGACTTGATTACAACTCTTAAAAAGAGTCTAGAACTAGAAGTGTTAAATAATTAGGAATAATTACTGTTGAGAGTTGAATCAGTTTGGGGTTTGTTTTGTTTTTTCTAAACTGGGATAAAGCTTAGGAAGAGATGAAGAGGTCCGTTCTCCTGAGTGGAACATTTTCAGGAGGGCTGTGCAGTGGCAGAGCTCACAGAGCAGCTGCCAGCACTAGGCCTGCCTCAGGCCAGTCCTCTTCGTTTGTCCCACTGCCGAGCACCCAGTTTCAGGGATGCAGAATGCAAGGCTGGCAGGAACTACACTTGGCCTGATTTATTCATGCAGCTGAGAACATTTCCCCTTCCCTAACTCAGCATTTAGCCCAGCAGCACACACAGGCTAGACATGGATGCTCTACAAAAGTGGACAACTTGTGCCCATGTTTGGTAGTTTGTGTCAGTGGTCATTAACTGCTGTAATAAAAAAGGGAGACCTTGAAAGGTCTCATTTTCTATCTGCATCACCCAGCCTCAGCTTTCACAGTCAGTATTGTTATGCCTGTCTCCATTAGATTAAAGATCTCTTTGGCAACCTGGTATTTTCTCCCTGAGCAAGTATTTTGCACGCTAATCAAATTACCTCCCCATCTTCCTTTTGATCATAAGCTAAGCAGCAAAGGAGGCAAAGCTCTGCTGGTGAGGCTTTTTCTGCTGTTCTCAAAACTGTCTGGGGAGCTTTTGGAGTTCCAGCCCATTTTCCTAAGCTGTTGACAATTGCTAACTCCAGTCCCACAGGTTCAGCACCACTGCAGGTCTTTCACGGCTTATGCAGAGGCAAAACTCACTTCAGGTCTCCTCTTTCTAATGAATTCTAGGGCTGCACCTGCTTTTTGTCAGAGCTACTGCCTTCCCAGATAGAGACCGGGGGGCTACGGAGAGGACCCTCAATCCTCATTTTTGTGCTTAGCTGTATGAATATTTTGCCCTCAAGAACCTCTCAGGAAGGTGTTAAGAGGTTCAAAGTGCCCAGAGGGGTTTTCCTGTTCTCACCTGCCAGTATCTGGTCATGCAGAGCAAGAAATTTCCTATTTATTTATGTATCACTGAAGAGTCATGGAGCTTTGCAGTTCTCCACCTCCAGATTCAGAGGGCCACAGCATGAGCTGAGAGAGTGACATTCAACAGAGTAGGAGGTGCTGTAGATGTGCCTGACTTTGCCATTTCTTGCACTTTCTATTTTGAAATGAACAGTCAATTTTTCCTCCTTTCTTTTCATCCACAGTGGTTACTCTGCTTACTTAAAGGCAGTCTGCTTAAACCCCAGATTTTCATGCAGTACAGAGTAATTTCCATCCAAACTACTAATTTTCTGTACAAGTATCTACAATGCTTAATGCACTCAGTTATTTTCAAAGCTGAACTAATGAACTTTTCCTCCATTATCCTCATCCCCTTTAATACCACATGTGCTCAAGAATTCACACTATTTACTTACATGAAAAATTAGCCCACATGACTATCATCAAACCCCTTGCAAGATTGCAAATAAAACTAATACCAACTAAACATGTATTATTTATTGCTCTTGTGTAACTTACAAAAAAATTGCCATTTAGAAACTAAAAAAATAGTTGAATAGAGGATTTGACTTCAATTCAGCAGCAGCTCCAGAAAAAAAGCCCAACAAATCTGAGTCCAATGATTTCTTTTATTTTCACTTCAAATCTCGATAACCTTTGAAATTATATTTACTTTAAAATCTCAAAGTATTTCATTGAAGGACAATAGTTTCAACTCTGAGCCAGAAAGGGAAAAACCAAAAACTCAGAACCTGAGAAAAAAATGTGACATCCTTTGTGATGACTTCAGATAACAAGAGTATGCACACACTGGTGATTAATTTCACCTCATATTTACCCCAAAAGCTTCTGCACAGAGCTACATATTTGTTGCATTTTCAGCTCTCAGTTCAATGGCTGCTGCCAAAAATTTACTCTGAGGCTAACACATCCCCTGCTGAATGGGTTTAAAATAGTGATCTGATTCAAAATGCTCTGGATTGCTTCTCGAGAGGACATCCATTCCCTGGGTTCGTAGACACCACGGAAGAGTGATCATATTCCTAACCAGAAGACCTACTGTTAACTCTAGCAGAATTAACACCATGATTTACCACACAGCCAAGAAAACATTAGGAAACTGGGAAAGGAGCAGAAAGGAAAAAGTCCAACTCCATAGAAACTAAAGACATCAGAAAAAGAGCCAAAATGTTGTCTAAAAACATCTCTCTCTTGTGTAGCTCATTAATGCAGTCTACCCTTTCCTTCTGCAATGCTTATGCAATAAATAATAAAAATAAATCATTGTTTGGATTAAATCTTGGCTTGCAAAAAATGCCATTTATAACAGCAAAAGGCATGTTATCTTTCATTCTATCCCAAAACACACATTAGTCTTTAGAATATGGATGAGCCAGACTTCCATCAGGATGAGGTTACTGTATTTATGTTGGGTAATCTGGAAACCCTTACCTACCATTATTAAGGAATTAAAAGAAAAGGTACCCAATATTTGGCTCTAGCAAGCATTTAAAGGAAGAGCGGCTCCAACTCTTAAATCAGCAAATTTCATCATCTGAGTCATGCACCCCTAATGCTTTTGAAAGTCTATTATAATAAATATGTTGCCATTAGGACTTCAGAAGAAGCTTCAGGCCCAAAAAACAACAAAAAGGCAGAGCTGCTTGCTCCAACTGCCTCATCCCCTAAAATACTCTCATTAGTTACTTAACATCTGCCAGAACAGATTCTCCAGGTAAGATTTCCAGCAGATCTTTTCATCCTAATGTTTTTTGTCTATGGATGCAAACCTGAACTTGAGTTCATTTTGCAGGTGGCTCCTCTTTCTGCTGTATCAAAGCTGTTCCAGGATCCTGTTTCCATTGTTGCTACTGTCTCCCCTCTCAGCTGACATTATGCCAACACCTCAAAGAACAGAAACTAAAAACTCAAGGGCACAATGAAATGAATTGTTGGAATTCATGCTGAACAGCAAACAGATGGTCAGCAAAACCATGAGAACCAAATGGGAGGGGAGCCTGATAAATGATTAATAGCACAGGTCAGCTTCTCTTTGGAGGTGTCTCATCCAAAGCTGTTTGCTTTGAAAGCTTTGGAGGAGTTGCCTTGTTCTACCCTGATCCACAGGTGCACGCAGAGCTCACCTGCAGTACTGCAAAGTGCTTTCATCAAGAATGCAAAGTCCAGTGGCAATCAGGTGGGCCAAGGATTTTTCCCATGCCCTCTGCCAGATGCTGTTCCTAGAATTCACTAACTACAGAGTTCATTCTCTTCTCAAAATATACAAAGAGAGAGATGTGGGACCTGAGGGATACACCAGGGGAAAAAACTTAAGGCATCTAATACACCGGACTGCTAAAACACCAACTATAAGTGAAAAGGACTCTCCTAATTTAAGATACTTAAGAGTAACTGATTACTGGAATCAAGTTTTTTCCCCTCACCCCAGTTGAGGGTTCACCCAATCACATACCGTTCCCACCAGTGGATACAGGAATCCAGCTCCAACACTGGCCCGAATGTCTCGGATCGGCAGAACAAAACCTGTAGGTGCTCCTTTTTGTTCAGGGTCATGAGACAACGATAAGTGAGTTTTAGCCATGCAGATTGGCAGGTTTCCAAATCCCTGGGAAAAGAGAGAGAAAAGAAGAGAAATTAGTGTGAAAAAACCAGTAACTTTTCCTGTACCCAAATGTAACTGCTCTATTCTGCCATTCTCTGCAGACATCAGACATTTTATCAGGACGTTTCACTCCTCACCAACTGCTTCACCCACAGCCTGTCAGATCCACTGACCATTCTGCATTCCCATTCCTTCTCTGTCAAAGTCTGTGCCCCCCACTAAGTACTAAAGAAAGAACCACTATGGTCCCCAGCATATCCAGTGAGGAAAACACTATAGAAGTGTTAGATATACAACCTCAATAGCCAACATACTTTCTACTCTCTTCCCAAAACATTAAACAGCTCAGAGTTAAGGTTTTGTTCAGCTGAGGTCAGTTAATTAGAAATGTTTGGTCAATATAATTGCAGGTCATGAGGAAGTGGCAATTACATTCCTATGGGGTTTTGATAGGCTTGTAAAGGAACATACAAGAAGCATGAAAGCAAGAAACTATATAAGGCAGTAGTAAACGAACTGCAAAAGTAAAATTATTTGAACACCCTGTAACCAGCAAATGGCCAGTTCACACACAGTCTTCTCTTCACAGACCTTCAACAATGCAGAAGCAGGTAAAACCACAAGGATGTCATGCTAGAGAAGAGTAAAAGCAACACAGCAACCAGAAAGCACCACTGCTATCAGATGATGTGGAAAACTCACTTGCTTAGTGTAGATGGCGACTTTCTCCTGTGCTTCTGGAAGTAGCTCAATGTCTCTTGCCCCGTAGACCTGCTGGGCAATAAGCCTGATCTTATCTACAACAGGGAGCTAGGAAAAAAAAAAATACAGGCAAGTCAGTGTGGCCAAACTACAAAGACCTGCAGCATCACAGCAGCTTCACACCCCTTATATGTGTTGTGCAGTGCCCAACTGCAGATGTCAGACTTTATCCCACTTGCTGTAGAACAAAGCTATACAGTAATTTGAGGGTTTTCACAGGTTTCAATATTTCACTGGTTCGTCAACACAACAAGAACTAACTCTCTGTAATACTGCAAGTTCCTACCTCCAGGTTATAGAGGAACCTGAAGTTGCTGGGTGCCTGGGATGCTCTCTGAACAGCTCGGGCCAGTGCCAGCGCTCCTTTCCCTCCCTCTGCCCAGTGAGTGCACTCTACAGCATCGAATGCTCCTGCCTCCTTCGCCTTCTGTACTACAAGGGCCAGTTCAGCCTTTGTATCCGTCCTGTAAGGAGAAAAATCTGCATGTTTGTACCAGAATGCACACACAGTAAATTAACTGTTCCTGACAAGATCCAAAACCTGTCCAAAGAAATCACAGAACCCTGCCATCAGGCAGCTGCTCATGGGCTATCCATCACAGTCTTCTCTACCTTGGTGAAGGAGGCTACTCCATGGAGGAACACACAGCAACAAGCAGCTCTGGAATTACATGCAGAGATCCATGACTTCTGACAGAGCAGCATTCCAGACCTTCTGCCATTTCTGTTCTGCTTTCCAGTTTTCACAAGCAAACTCAAAAAGGTGTTAGTACTGCAGATTTAGAGATGCTCAGGTGTGCTGTATCATGGGCACACAACAAGCTAAAAGCCAACATTCCTCCAGATTGGGCAATATGCATTCACTTCACGTGAAGAACCTTAGCTGGCTACTCCCCTTCAGCTGGCATCAGCTTTAGCACCCCAGCTCAAAGGCCTTCTGCTCTTGTAAAATGACCACACAGAGGTTCTATTTCCTGTGCAGTTCAACGTGCAGAGCCCAAAATGCTCCTTAGCAGGGCACAATTATTCCACACAGCCAATCACTGAACACAGTGTGGTCAACAACACAGGCACCTCACCACCTATTATGAGCTTAGATTCCACAGTCACAGGCACATCTATCCATAATAATTTGGCCAGTCAGGGTGTAAGTGATGGCAGATACTAGCCATAAAATCCTAGGCTAATTCAAAGTGAAGGAATACATTTGAAATGACTAAGCAGAGCTCCTCCCCCACTTATTCAGTATCTTCCAACAATGCAAGATGCTGCAAACAATACATCAACAGAACTGAAAACAGGAGTTTGTGCTAAACATAACATACAAAATGCCACAATTTTATAGCGATGCCTCACTTCCAAGTCCCAGCTCACTTACTTGAAAGCATTGACAGCCACAACTACTGGGACACCAAACAGCCGTGCATTTTGGATTTGCTTGTTTAGATTACTGCAGCCATTTGCCAACAGTTGAAGGTTCTGTAAAGAAGACAGCAAGCAGGAAGTCTGTTTTATCAGGGGCAGTGGAACTTTTATTCGAAATCCACTACATCCACGGCTAACGGTAAAAACGTCAAAATAGGAATGAAACCACAAGTACCCAGAAAGTACCCAGTGGTGCTTTCTGAACAGTCCAGACCACTGCATGCTCCTGATAGAGACAGGAAAAAGAATTACTACTTCTAATAATCACTGGTTTCAGCTGTCAAGCCAAGGTAAGAGAAACCACTTTTTGTTATTCTTAGTAAGTTAATACCTGTTCCCATTAACTCCCCACAGTAAAGCCTCAGTCTCCTCTCTGACACATTCCTCTTTATGTATTAAATATCACCAGCAGTGAATTTCATTACACCCTTTTGAAGTCTGTGGCAACAGCTTTCAGTTTACATGTATTTACATTTTGCAGCATCAGAGACTATTCCTGGAAATTCAGACATTTCATCCCTTCCTATGCAAAGAATAATCCATGCAGAACCTCCACGAGTAAAAAAGCTGCAGCAATGTAAAGAGAGTCAGATCAATTATCCAAGTGCACACAACCATTAAAAGTACAAAGACAGAAGGTGAGACTTTAGTTCACTTTCCTCTCTTGCTTGCAAAGGTGGGGGGGATAAAACCAAAAACTACAGAGCATAATTAGAGAGGTACTCTGAATATTTTCAGACAGTGTTTCAGCCAAGCAATTACTCCATATTGAGAAGGCTGGGGACACAGAGTAGATATTACTATGAAAAATGGAGCACACAGACAATTGCATGAGTTAAGGAGAAACAAAAAGGCTCTGAGCACTGGCTAGATCAAGTGTAATAAACATTTGAAAGAGCAGAGCCAAAGTAACATCATTAAAAAAACCCATAACATTACAGCTTGTATGAGGAAGCATTTCCATGGCAGCTAAAGAAACGACACACTAGTAACCCAGGCATGCACTGCATGACATCTTGATGTCATGACCACAATTAGTTGGTCAACTGTCACAACACCTTGAGATTACCTCTTCTGTGTATTCCTTCGGTAAAGGTACCCCAGCAGTGACCTGGGGAAAAAAAGGAAAAAAAATGGAGTCCCATAAGATTTTCATCCATGATATCTATCATGTCATGGATTCATATGATTGATTCATATTAAGTGGCATCAAGATACAACATTCTACTCCATGCTGATCCTTTTTTTTTTTGTAAGAAAAAAATAAATGGAAGAATAAAAGACTGCGGGATGCACTCCAGATAAAATAGATGACTGACTCTGGGACTTTAACAAGTGCCCCAGCACACAGGCAAACAAAACAAGCAGGTATGAACCTGTAATATACTGCAGTGAAGCCGCTGACAAGCAACAGAAACACGTTGATTCCTTTTACAACTTGAATCTCAAGACAATTTCAAGCGGATCAAACTCTAGGGGGCTTTAAGTGACCGGATCAGAACAACAGGAACGGCCCCTCAGGTCTATGGAAAACCTTCCCCAGTCCTTACTGTAGGCCCTCCTCCGTGCATTTTCAGAGCTCGGACAGTAGCAACCAACACCACCACGTGAGGCCGGAGACCAGAGTAGCGGCACTTAATATCAAAGAATTTCTCCATGCCTATGTCTGCACCAAATCCTGCTTCTGTAACTGGAGTAGGAAATAAAAGAAAAGAAGCTTGTGAAAAGTTGCTGGGTGGAAAAATCATGCTCCGATTACATAAATCAGAAGCTTCTTCCAAGACAAAAAAAAACAGCCCTAAGACACTCATGATAAAAAAAGGCGGATCCCTCCCTCCAAAACAAACAAATGGCAAAGAAAATACCCCACACTCCTTGCACTTACCAACAAAACCATCTTTACCCACAAGCTTCAGTGCTATTTTGTCTGCCAACACAGAGGAATTCCCATGTGCAATATTGGCAAAAGGTCCAGCATGAACAAACACTGGTGTTCCCTAGAAAAGGGGGGGATGTGGGAGAGAGAGAAAGAGAAAAATCAGAGTACAATTTCACAGATCTCCAGCATCTCAGGAGCTAAGTACTGAGGTACCTGAAGGTAAAGAAAAACATTTTTAGAAAACAGATCCTAAAGCCTTCTGATCAGACATTTGTTATCAGCAATAAGGACTACAGGGCAAACAGGATTATTATAATCTGCACAAGTGGAGGTATTAATCCGCTTAGGAAAAGGATGGTTAAATCCCAGCAACTTTGAATTTACAATCTTTGTCATTCTCCTTCATCCACACCATTTAAATTCCCCAAGCACTTCCTGACATTAAAGACAACAGAACAAAGACACAGCAAAGTTTAGTGCATTTCCTCAGGGTCATCCCACATGCCAAAGGCAGAAGGAAGCCAGCCTTCCCCCCTAGCCCTGAGCCTCAGACAGGAAACCACAGTAAACCTCCAACTCTAAGCTAAGTAGGCCCACACTGATTGTGATGAATGAAATAAACCAGTTGTTTCTTGGCTCTGAGAATGCACTTACAGCAAATCATCTGTGCTCACCTCTAGAGTCTGCATGAGGTTTGGCTTAATAGCGTCTTTCATCAAGACAGCCAGAGCTCCAGTCACTCCCTAAAATAAAAAAGGACAATCAGTTTCCACGTGTACCGAGACCTTGAGACTGTTCCTATGTTGTGTCAAGGTTCTGCTTTTGTCCTGGTGGGCTTTCAGGACCAGAACCAGCAGTTGCTCTACACAGAACAACCTCCAGTCAGGGCAAGGCAGGAGAAAGACCTTTACATTCCTGTAAGAGGATTTGTGATTTCTGGTGGGGGCAGCCTCTTGGCTGTGACCTTGCTGGGCCATCCCTTTGTAGCAAAGGCATAAAGAACAATTAACTGCTGTTTCAATGCTATGGCAAGGTTAGTAAACAAGACCAGTGAGAGAGTAACTTTTCAGTACACATGGTTTACTGTAGCCCATTCAGTGGCACAAAGCAATGTTCTTGGGTTTTGAAGGCAGATTTGTCTTGGACTTTTTTCCTTCTTCTTTTTAGCAACTCAGCTCCTCAGCTCTACAAACTGGCCTTAAAATGTCATAACAGGCTGCTACATTCTGCTCAAGTCTCCTGTGCAAAAATAACTTTTAAAGTGAACCTTTGTGCTCATGAGAACAACCAGGCAGACACAAAAAGCAAATACTGGAGCCCAGGTTTCCTCTGAGGTGCAGCCACGTACCCTGATGAACTCTGATTCCAGTGAGAGGTTATGATTTCATCCCCCTTTTGCTTTGAGAAGACAAAAATGAGGGTGTGGTCACCTTTGTGACTGACACAGTCCAGTGGAACTCAAACCAGCTGTTACCCAGCACTTGCAAAAGTAACTAAAATTGCTGTTGCAAATCCTGAGCCAAACGTTCGCAGCAGTGATGAAAACCTTGAACCATGATCTCTTTTTCTTTCCTTTCAACTTCAAGTGGATTGCAGCACTCAATTTCAGGAAAGATTATTTTTTTATAAGACATTCCGTGCTTTGTTTCATTAGTTTCAATCTTGCCACATGAAAGCTTATTTAACATTTAATGGATAAGCTTTAAACTTCAGTCATCTCCAGAATAATGAAAACTACAGAGCAAGATTTCCATGGCGACATTTCAGGCCTGTGTCACTCAGCAGCACTTCAATGCATCCCATCTCTAAGAACCTGTTGTCAGTTTTCGATTCCACGCTTCTTCCCAGATTTTTTTGCACTTCCTGGTAGCACAATCATGACATTGGTTTTATCACAGCAGAAGGACCCAGGCTGGTCTCTGCAATCACCACATTTCTGCTTGCATAAGGAGTACTTAACACGGCCCTAACGACACGAGCCACTGGCTGCCATCAGTGCAAACATATAACACACAAGAGAACCTGTTGGACAGGTCTGATACCACCCCCATTCTGCAGTTTCAATGGACAAAAATTAAACATAGTTAGATTAAAAAAAAAAAAAAAGTAAAAAAAAAAGAAATCCTGAGATGAAAAACTTCTATCACTGGATTCTACAGAAAACTCAAATCAACTCCCACTCCAATGCACCATCTGCCTCCACTGCTGATGGGCAGTAGGAGACTCCTGTTTTCCAGAAAAAGGGTTGAACTCGGGTACTTAAGGTTAAACTGGCAGCATGCTAGGTGTAGGAATTAAAATCTCAAAGCTGCCTATAGAACTTTGGCACATGCCCTCCCTCATTCCCAACAAATGTATCACATAGGGATTTACAGATAAATGGTTCCCAGCCTAGCCCTTTTCCTGCAAGACCAGAGTCAGGCCACAAATCTGCTGTTTCTTAGCTTTATTCTAGGAGGAAGTAAAACAAAGAAACAAAAACCCTTAAAACACAAGAAAACAAAAATCCCACAGCAAGATAGTAAGAGCTGGGTAAGCCTTAGTGCTGTGTCCACCTTGCTGGAAACACAAGTCAGGATACCCACCCTCTGGATTCTTCTCTCTCACTGGAAATGTTCATTCAGAAAATGCAGCACAAACCTCATTAACACCACATCATGCAAATCTGTAATACTCTTGTCTCTTGCAAAGCAGGCTGTGAAGTATCTGCTATACAGGAGAGCTCTAAGCACTAATACTGTATCTGTTGATCAGTCCAACAGTCCTGAGCCTGTTCTCTGTCTTGGGGTCAAATGGCGGGGTACAGTTCACACAGAGGACTCAAACCCCCTTCCCTTCTCCAAACAGGGTTGCCATCTTCAAAATGTTCATTGGAAGAAGTGTCTGGGGCACAGGGCATTCCCCTGAAACCACGGTGAAGCACCATTCGGGAGAGTGCTGGTGGACATGCTCCACAAACATGCCAAAAACTGTACTATAATTATTGTACGGGCAGCTGCAAGTGCTGCAGCTTGCAACTGCTGCCTAGGACTGCTTTACACGCTGGTAACAGGCATCACCAGTGCTGTGACATTCGGCGTTTCGTGCAATGGAAATAAAGGATTTATGTCCCTCATCAAAGGCTGCCCTATGGAGAACACACTTTTTTGCAAAGGCTTTGGCTTTTACAGCATTCACAGCCTCCCAGAACAAGGTATTTCACCGTCTCGTAATTAAGTTTGCACGAGGCTTTGTTCCTGCTCAATGTCTTCCTCACTCCAGGGAGCCTGAGAAACAGGATGGCCAGCAGGATGCATTTTGAGTTCTTCCGATTCATAAACGTGCTTTTTACGTAGAAGCCACCACGTATTTCCCCAGTAATTCCTATGGTGCCAGCTTCAACCTGACACACAGCACATCACAGGACATCACACAGGACCCTCACACACACTCTCTGGACAAGGTGGTAGCCACACTGAAGCAAAAAACTTTCATTAACTGCAGGGACTGAGATTTCATCTTTGATCTTCTATAAGTTAAGATCTTTTCTGCACAGAACCATCTTTCTGCTTTTCAATCCAAAGACTTTCAGAAGCAGTAGGAAGAAGCAGTTAATAACTGCATGACTCTTACAAGGTCATCTGCTGTAACTGGTTGTCCTTTCTTGCTGGAGGCTACGACCATTCTGCCGAATCGCTTTTTCATATCATCCAGCCCATCAGCCAGCGCTAGGACTGCCATGATTTCACTGCTTACAGTGATGTCAAACTGAGCCTGCAAGAGATGAATAAAGAATGTGAACTCATCAAGATTCCCCAGCAGCAATTCTTACCTCCGGTAAATTCTTGATACAAGGCCAATCATCACCATCGTAACAAAAAAAGAGACAAAAAAAAACCCCCAGATATACAAATATACAAGAAATCCAAAGCATTGCTCTCAGAACACAATTAATTTAATTTGACTGTTTTAAACTGGATCTTTTTACTGTAAAATTAAGTAAAACCTATTTCTTCCGTTGATATTATGTGTCTCTCCTGGGACACACATTAGTGATTCATGTAAGAACACTTAACATTACTAACAATTATATTTTTGAAGGCTGAGCTTACTAACTCATCTGATTATCACTAAACAATACAGTAAATGACAAAAAATCCGAACAAAAACCCCAGATTCTATAGGAAATGAAGGATATAATTCATCCGACATAATGCAGACACCTCCATCTTAGGGAAGCTAAGCACCCTAAGGACATTTCAAGTCAATAGAAAGAGGCTTTTCTGAGCACAATTCATTTGAACTATTAATTTGACAGTTACTTAAGCAACTGTAAGTAAGGATGAGAGGAATCACAGCTCAATTGTCTATTTTACTCTATTGATTATACAGTGAATCTAGACAAGCTAGTCTAGTTTTGGCCAGATACACCCCACCCAAAGCATCTGCAGTGGTGAAGATGAGCCATTGCCATGTGTCACCTTTAGAAAGGCCGCAGTCATCCCAGTTTGGGAAACCAATATTCATGAGAGAACAGGAAAGGAGGGAACAGACAATAAAATATGAACTGATAGCAAATTTAACTGCTTGGTTTAAAGGACTTTCTGCTTTCTCTTTAACAAGATACTGGTAAAAGATGAAAATATCCAGACTTACAGAAAGTTGCCTCAGGAACACATTTTTCAAAGTACTTATGCAAGGAAAGGGAGCAATTACCGTTCGTGAGAAGCCTTTCTCTGTTGGAGACTGTCCAATAGTGATTTTCCTAAGGAACCTGTCATTTGTATCCAGTACTGCAAGAAATGCAGAGAGATAAGATGTCACATTGCAAGTCATAAGTCACATCTATGCCCTGTGAGAAACACTCAGCCAGTTCATCCATGAAGAGAGGACAGCAGTTTGAGATACCATCCTCTCCTGAAGAGCGGCAAATGCTTCTCAACATGATTCCTCCCCAAAACTGAACAGCAATGAAGTTAAGACAGCCAGAGACACATCAGACCCTGCCACTGCATCCAGAGGGAGTCTAAATCCCTTTGTGTGCACTAACCACAAGACCAAAGCTCCTCTGAAGAGCAGAGCTTTTAGTATTATTCAAATTGATTTTTCACCATCATTAGTCAGTGTGAATTCAGGAAACTACTACAGCCAAAGGGAAATAAAATTATCATTTTATAAGTTAAGTGATAAAACAGTCAGACACTACCATTTAGTGAGAATTGTTTCATGTAGCTCCATTAACTCAAATTGCCTTGGAAACACAAACTATCAAGCAGCGGCTTAAATTTGCTGTGTCTTACTATCTGCTTGGAATATTCTAAGTATTTTGTAAAGTATGTCCCATGAGGCAAACTACTTTAGCCTCATTACAGGTTATGAAGCAAATTTTGGATAATACATTTCACACTGTATTTTAATAAAAAGAAGAAAAAGCTAGACTCTTGGAGTCTAGCTCAAGAAAAAAAGTCCATTTTGAAATTTCTTTTGCTAGTGAAATATTAAATCTGCCAGACCAGAGATTGATGTCACCTTCAGGTATTTTAAAATCCTTTTAAATATCTGTCCTTCGTTTGCTGTCAGTCCCCAACAGAGCAAGTGGGTGGATTAAAACTGAGTTTGATCCCAGACCGGAACCCTCTCCTTTCTCACAGAGCAGTCAGGTAAAAAGACTGTTGGCTACAGTTGCCAAATTCAAGTCGCTCAGTGACTGACAAATCCAGAAACACAAACTCGCACCAATTAGCAAAGTCTTAATCTTTGTGAATTCACTGCAGATTCAAACCCCTGTGTCAGACCCTTTAGAAATGGGATCCCAGCTTCAGGCATCTACCCCAGAGGCCAGCCCTGTCTTCTTTCCTATTTTTCCAGGAAACACAATTTCAGCTGTACTTGCAAATGTCTCCTTTGACACATGGTTTTGTTTCTTAACAATTCTTTCATTTAATGTATCTTGTACCTCTTTGCCATGTTATGGTGCCCGGGTCAATGTCCAATCTCACAAATGCATTTATTTCTTCCTTTGTCAAAGCTGCGGGATCAGTTTTGTTAATGCCCAGTTTCTACGGGAAGAAAGGACAAATAAAAGAAAAAGGGTGTGGTGAAAAAATTCACATAAATGAACCTTTTACTGCAGCAATGAAGCTTTGGCAGCAGCATCTGCATATTCAGAAATAAGGAAGGGCTGCCTTTTTGATGTCCCTTCTCCCAGACCCCACAGCAATGTAAGATGATCCCTATCAGGATGCATCTGGAAGCAGAGCTTGCTGCTGGCCAGTTCGTAAAGGGCAAGGCAGACAATACAGCCCATTAGGGCAGGTTGTCACCAAGCTTTGTGCGAGGCACCTACAGAAAGAGGAAGAGAGAGAGCTCTGCAGCTCCTTACACGCCTTGTTCTCGTCATTAGTCTCACATGCTTACATCCATTTCTCATTAGTTTGCCTGGGGTCACTGCACACAGCCGTACGTGTTTAAAGCCACTGCTTTCAGCATGCTGGTTAAGCAGCACAAAGGAAGAATTAAACAATTCAGTCACAAGGCTGTCAGCATCCCAGAAAGCCGATCTTGAACATACTGAGAGGATGGGCAGTTTGCCAAGTTGCTTAATTGAGAGAAGAATTATCTGAAGAAGCCTGATACAAGCGCAAGCTTAGGAATGGGGAGAACGGTTCAGTTGATTTATGAACGAGTAAGGTTGTTTTAATTAACTAGACAGTCAAGTCGTATTTTCCCCCTGAAGAACAGCAGGGAAGAAAAAAGTCTGTTCTCTTCCCCTTCAAGCATATAATTCAGAAAAAGAAATAAGCAACAATAAAGATATCATCTTTCTGGAGTATTAGCACCCTGTCACATCTTGACATTTAATAACCAGAAGAGTGGTCAGGGTAGAGTTCCCTCAGCAGTCTGTCAGGAACACCAAGCAGTATGACATAGCTTCTTGCTCAGCAGTAGAAGCAAACCACACGTTGTCTAACGGTTGAGACATTATAGTCAATTAATATAGCAGAGTTTTAGCTTGCTAAGTAGTCTGGCTATTGCTCCCGACTTCCAAATTGGTAACTGATCCAGCCTGAATACTCTGCAAACAGGCTTGTACGTTGAATGGGCTCAGCAGGGCCCAGTCTGTGCTCCTAGCTGAAGGGTTCAAGCCTAGTGCAAAACTATGCCTCTGTTAATCCTCATTTTTTCAGAAGTCAATGTGAACTAGCATGTGTCCTTAATTTCTGAGGATAAGAGGAGCTGTGGGCTGCTCAGAGACTGCCACTCAATGACAGGGCTGCTCATCTAACAGGGAATTCTTTTTTATAGAGAGGAGGTGTGGGCAACGTTTTCCTTGTTTTCTCAATCCGGATAAGACAAAAAAATTCTCTCTGTTCTCTTTCTGCTGAATTTTCTAAATTGCCTTTTTTGTCCTGCATTATCTGTAGAGTTGTCACATGGGAACCATTAATCTCTAGCTGTAAATGTGTGTAAGGTAGAGAAACCAAGTCTAGTCCTTTCTTAAACTACATTAAGGACACTGAATTGACACTATTAAAAGGACACTAATCCCTTTGCCTCTTCCCACCGTGTTACTCACAGAGCATATGACAGAGTTATATCAATGATTCTTCCCCTTGGGGCTGCATCTCACTGTTTTCTGTGCTACCACTGCTACTCTGCACGCTTTATGTAAAAAATAAATGCCAGCAGAATGACCTAGTGGACAACATGAGGGTTTCTGTAACATACCTCTGCTTATTTAAAAGATGAGTAAATGGAACAGAACCAGAAACCAATGAGAAACCAGTGATCTTACCTGTAGTCTTCGGATCTGAATGTCTGAGAACTTCCTAACACCATTGACAGAAGGCACCAAACGGTTGTAGAGAGCCTTGCAGAATGAAACAGGTAGTTAATTAGCACTGCTGGCACACCCAGAACAGCCTGATGAAATTGGGCTGGGATCAAGTGCATTGTAAGAAAGGGTTGTACCTGGTCAGACTGAGTCAGCTCATGGAACATACGTGCGTCAATAGCAGCAGCGACCAGGTTGTTGGCTGCAGTGATAGCATGGATGTCACCAGTGAGGTGAAGGTTAAACTAGAGGAGATAAAACATATCAGTTACCTCATCCTGCTGCAATTTTCACTTATTTCAATTCATCGTAGACAGATGGAAAGAGAAGTATTAATAGTACCGTTAAAGTGGGTGAGGGTGGAGGGGGAGAGATTGCTCAGTGAAGTATGTGGAAGAGAGGAAAGAATTTCTCTAAAACAGAAAAATGCCTCCCCCACATTTATGTCATTTTACAAACTTCTAGAACAAAGCTCCCAAATAAAAAGTTGTTTGTTTTTTTCTTTTCCCCCTCCACAGGAACAGTTCTCAGAAGCTCCTTAACACTTGATAAAACCGTGGTATGGCACATCTGCATTGCTCCTCCTTCACCTTCCTTCTGACTCCCTCATTTGCACAGCAGGCTTCACACATACACTAGCTGAACTTGCTGCTGCTCCCACAAGGGACTCTGAGCTAAACTGGAACTAGCAACGTTGTGCAGCACTAGCAGTGGAGCTGTGGTTGCACAGAGCTCTGCATAAGGTAACCACCCAAACACAGTGTCACAGGCAGAACTTGTACTACACAGTGACACTGCTAGTAGTTTTCCTAGTTCTATCTCATTAAAAGATAGTTTGAGTGGGTTTGCCTACATGAGTTATCTGGCTGCACTGTAGCTGTGAAGCTGGTGAAGGGTCTAGATTGGATATTAAAGAAAATTTCTCCACACAAAGAGTTGTCAAGCACTGGAACGGGCTGCCCGGGGAAGTGGTGGGGTCACCATCCCTGGAAGTGTTTAAAAGACATGTGGACACAGCGCTTGGGGACATGTTTTAGTGGCAGGCTTGGCAGTGCTGGGCTAACAGTTGGACTTGATCTTAGAGAGCTTTTCCAACTTAAACAATATGATTCTGTACTGTCAAACAGTTTAGGATATACAGCTTCCATGACACACCTGCATTATGGTAAAACGTGTGGTTAAAACAACCCTTTTCCTCTGTAGCAGAGCAGCAAAGGAGAAAGATGAAAAGGAAACATTAGAAAAGATGATATGACAGAAAATTTTACAACAGCATTTTGTTGAAGCCTTGCTACTTTTGCTGAAACCCACAGAGCTAAAACAGAGTGCAGCTAGTCACACACTGATTATAAATCCTAATTAGTAAATGCTAATTGTTGTCTCATTCTGCATAAATGCAACAATAAGCTATTATTATTACCTTGGTTCTGCAGTATGAACTCAAAAGTTTTTCACTTACTATTTTTTTTCCTAGGATTAAAGCTGCATGCAGAATTATTAGATGACATATCAAGGTCATTACTGTAACTAGTGACTCTAGATACTTTAATTTTACGAGATATGCATTGATTAAAACACCCCCACAAAACTATGTGTATTTGTTCCCCATAGGTCATAATTAAAGAAAGCTGTTTCAGCCAGTTTGGTTCCTAAAGTTTGGTTCCTGTTTTCCACTGCTGCATGCAGTCAAGTATTTTGGCTTGCTTTATTAACACTCTCAAAGAGGAGGAGATTATTTTTCCTGTCACATCTATCATTGACACATGTTCTTGGCACATGACTAAATCAATATTCTGCCTCCTTTAACACTTTTATCTTTTATGGACTTGCTGCATCAATTAGAACAAACAGCCCTTTTGATCATTCCTGCTTTTCTTCCTAAAATTGCCCTGTGTCAATCTGTAGTGCACGAGACAAAGGTAGAATTCAGGCAATTACTCTGAGAGTTGAGGGAAGCATGAGAGCACGTGCTACACGTGCCTTTCAATTCCCTCCCTCTAAACACAGAATTTTACTTGTTGCCAAGCCACACTAGAAATATGCTCCACTGCCAGGCCCCCAAAGACTGAGGTCTTGACATTGCTGATTCCCAGTTTCCCTTTTCCTAGTTCATGTTAGTAATCTAAAACACAAGAACACCAAAATAGCTCACAGAAAGAATTGGTGTCCACCACAGCTGACAGAACTACTTAAAATGCTTCCAAAAGGCATTAAGCCATTACCATCTTCATTTCAATGCTGGGAAAATGAGGCATAGGATGTACTTTGCTCAAGGGTATGCAGCAATTCAAGGCAGAGAGGGGAAAGGGAACGGAGGAACTGGGAATGTGTAGTTCTATGAAGTTCCCTGACCATGCAGGCACACTTCTGAAATGACCTGAAGATGTTTGTCTGTTTTTTTTAAAAAAGGCTTTCCTAAAATCAAGCATGCAGTTCTTGAGAGTGCTACACCAGGCCATAAACTCATGGACTTTCCAAGTTATCTGACTGCAGTATCTTTTCGAAGTCTGGAAGCTGTACGTGCAATGAGGCTTTGTATAAGGAATTACCTCTTCCATGGGGACAACCTGACAGTAGCCACCACCTGCAGCTCCACCTGCAGAGAGACAACAGTCAGAATATACAGCTCAAGTGTCTCCAGCCCAGAGTGCTATTACATGTGTTTACTTAATGGCTTTAAGAGGGCAGCTACCATCAAGCAGCTTAGTTCAAATCGCAGCACAGCACTTGATAACAAAACTGAAGAACTTACCCAAACTTTTCCTTTCTTAAAATAAATGCAATTGTAACTGGGAATTATGTAAAACTCCAGTGCAGCAGAATAAAATCTCTGAATGCCATCTTTCCCCATTTAGGCCAACTGCAAGTAACAGAACAGCTCATACCTTTTATACCAAAAGTTGGCCCCTGAGAAGGCTGCCGAACACAGGCAAAGACATTCTGGTGAAGGTGAGCTCCCAAGGCTTGAACAAGGCCAACAGTGGTGGTGCTCTTCCCCTCTCCCAAAGGAGTGGGAGTTATCCTGCAGCGACAAAGCAGAAGAGACACAATTAAACCCTTGTAGTGGGTGAGACTTAAACCACGGGGACAAGGGTCATCCAGTGATTGCAATTAATGAGAATTCAAATTCTGGACTGGGTCAGACTTCACCTAATCTTCATCAGTTCAAAACTGGAATGAGGTTGGCAAGTTATCACACAACTGCTGACGACTTTCCTCTGAAACACCTTTCTAGTTCCTGCTGACAGCAGGCTACTAGACAAGGAGAACTTTGACTAGGAACCAGCCTGCCCTTCATAACCCTGACCTGCAGACCAAATCAATTAATCTCCTGGAGAGAAATGTAAAGCTACATCCCCACTGTTTGCCACAAGCACTACATTTTCACCGTGTGATTTACTAAAACCCAGAGGACCCCATCCAGTCACCCTACTGAAAGACAATACAACAGCAGCTAATAATATTCCTTTCCATCTTGACATCAGGTAAGTCTCAGCTAAGGAAGTACCTACCCAGTAACAACAACGTATTTGCCATCTGGCTGGTTCTTCAGACGATTCAGAGCTGACAGCTGGACCTTGGCTTTGGTCTGGCCATAGGGCTCCACCTCATCAGGGAGCAGGCCAACTTCACTTGCAACTTGTTCAATGGGTTTGGGTACGCAAGACCGTGAGATTTCAATATCACTTAAAGAGAGAGAGAGAGAGCAAGGTGACTTCTCACAAACTTCCCACTTCTGGATGGCATAAACTACAAACACCTAATCTGTATTTCAGAAGTGAAGCTTTAACCCCTCCTAGTTAAATGAATCAATACCACCAATATCAGCTACACTGGAATAGACACATCCTCAGAGTTGCCTTTTTAAAAAATAAAAGAAAGTAAAACCCAAACCAAACAACAACACCTACACGCCCCCCAACCCTCCCCCACCCTAAGATTGCCTTTTTGTAGGCAATGTGTTATGATTTCTTGTGGTATTTTGCATATTTTCAGCTGCTCCTTGGGAACTTGACACCAACAACTCCTACTTCAAGATGCTATCTTTTTGCCATGTCAGATTGAAAATATTCAAAAATACAAGTGATTCCTTTGTGTTTACAGCTTCCTCATAAGGGAAAGCAGAGTGGCAGAGATGGATCTCTTCTCTCAGGTGACCAGTGACAAGGGATGGCCTGAAGTTGTGTCAGGGGAAGTTGAGGTTGGACATTAGAAAAAGGTTCTTCACCCAGAGGGTGGTTGGGCACTGGAACAGGCTCCCCAGGGAAGTGGTCACAGCACCAAGCCTGACACAGTTCAAGAAGCATTTGGGCAACACTCTCAGGCACATGGTATGACTCTTGGGATGTCCTGTGCAGGGCCAGGAGCTGGACTTTGATGATCCTTGTGGGTCCTTTCCAACTCTGAGTATCCTGTGATTGTTTCACTATTTGCTGAATCAATTATCTAGCAATATTATCAGGATGATCTAAGCCTACACTTCAACAGATGTCACAGCACCACTGCGGGTTAACTCTGCTCCCTCAGGAAAGCCTCACAGTGCTTTCTCTCTACTCTCCAAACTTCAATCCCAGCCACAGTCAACATATACACATATGCCCTGTATTACAAAACACCCGGGAACAGATGTGAATACTACACTGTATAAATACTGCCAGTAGCTTAATTTGAAAGCATTACCTTGGAACAGGCATCTTTAGGTTAAGCTGGTTGTATTGGATGGTCCATTTTCCAGGTTGGAACTTCTCCAGAAAACGCTGTGCACTCTCCACTGTGCTCTGAAATGAGGATGAGAATCCATTACAGCAACCACCACTGTATGAACCACGCTGGCTAACAAAGAGATCAGAAAGGTTTGCCCCTCTCCTCTGTCTCACTTCGGGATTAAACCAAAGTACTTTCAATAAAGCACTTGTTAATAACCCAAAATGTGATTCTGCTTGTAGTTTTCTTAGAAGGAAAAAAAAAACAAACCCCACAGTATTTATATCTCTACTGATCTTCCAGTGCGCTGGATTTTTGGGGGTGTTTTGTACCAGGGTTTCTTAAGCAAAGCATGGTGAAAGAGGGAGCTGGCTTATGCTGTTACTCTCCTTTTTATCCAGTCACCCTATTGACAGTTTTAGAATTACAGCCTTTATCGTTATATGACAAAAGTGTTTCTCACTGTTTTGAGTGACCACACTCAAAAACCTTAAAAAAAACCCCAAACCAACAACAACAAAAACCAACAAAAAACCCCCCAGAAAACCCAACCAAAAACCTCTGTCCTAACATTTCCTTAAAGCCCATCTTTTTCCTCAGTTAACTGAATCCCAATTGTCTGGACTAGAAGTCGGAAATCTCTGTAAGAGCAAGAAGGAAGCACCAGTTGCTTTGGTAGTGTGCTGGTGGGTCAGCAGCAACATATCCCAAAGCCAGACAGAGAGGAGATGATCACAACGTCACAGTCTGCCCATGTACCTGCATTAACATGGCCACAGTCATGGGCCCAACGCCACCAGGAACTGGGGTGATGTAGGAAGCTTTTTCCTTTGCTGAATTGTACGCCACATCTCCCACAACTCTTTTTCCACTGGCCTTTGTGCTGTCTGGGGATTTAAGGAGAAAGTAAATTTACAAGTCACATTTCACCAAAACAACAGAGCACTAACTGAAGTTGAAGTCTTTTCCTCTGCCGGAGTAAACAAAGTAGAAGCTGTGTACCCAGGAAGCTGCTAAGTAAGATAAAAAAAGCTAAAACAACATCACAAGACGAAGCTGTTACCGTAGTTAACTCAGACAGTGTCAATAGCTCGTGCAACATATCCTCCCATTAAGCACCATTTATCCTCAGCCACACAGAACTCCCTTTCCTGGGGGATACAAGCTGTTTCTTAGTGGAACACGGCCCCCAGGGCAGCCTGAAGATGACTCCAAAGCAAATGCAGAGGGACCAAAGCACAGTGCAAGTTTTGTATCTGTGCAGTAATAAAACATAAATGGGATGTACAATAGAGATGTCACCTGAACCATCCCTTTGCAGCTCTTGCTGTACTGCTCTGAAGGATTAGTACAGCTTACAGTGTGAAGGAGATATAAACCAATGGTCTAGAAGGAGGTGAGAGAAGAAACATGACTGACTTGTTCCAAAACCCCAGGTTTACATTTGATCTGTTCCATTTTGGACACCTGGGTCTTAATATTGAATAAAATCACCTGCCTTTAGAGGAACTGAAGACATAAAGTGCTGAGCTTTTCAATCAGTCGTTGCTATTTTAACGATGGACCAGTAAATACTGCAGTTCACAGAGATCAGTCTTGTCAAAACAAACCTCACAGGTGGCTTAAGAGAGCTTCAGTAGAATAATCTCCCTTCTCTCTGGCAAAAAAGTTTGCTACATCCCGCTGCACTACATGATCTGACAATTCAGAAGCAGATATAGCCCTTTTTTTTTTCCAATGGTGACCTTTAAGCTCCCCCATAGAGAAAAAGATAAACCGTGTTAGTAAACTAGCACAGTCATCCAAGAAACCCACTGATTATAGCACATGAAAGCAGAAAATTTAAGTTTCTCTTGGAATGGCAGATTCTCATTTCAGATAAAGGACTCTAGGGAACATCTAAGCAGCATGAAAAACCTGAAGATAGATTTTAATGTTGTTATATTGAAATATTATATTGCATATAATGTGTGTGTGTTTGAACAGAACACAATCAATAACTTTACCATACATTTGGTGAGGGGGAGGAATGGAAGAGAAACCAAACTCCTAAACAGCTGATTATGTTAAAACCAAAAGGAGAACAAGAGCAGCTCCTGCCTACACTAATTTTTAGCTGCATTGTTACTGGCAATTAGCAGCTTGGATGCTTTGCTCTGTTTGTGTTTTAAACAACACTTCTTCTCCCTAAAGCTCAAAGCCTGAACAACATCACAGCTGTTAACCAGTGTTTCTACAGCCACTGTTAGCTTTGCTGCCCAGAACAGCAGACCAGTTTGGCTTTCCAGCCTAGAGACCAGTCTAATTAAGGCTGCAAAAGGTAAATAATGTAACTTTATTTTCTTCCAAGGATGCCAAGCAGGCTTACTGGCCACCCTGGCCAGGAAGACTCCAGGACCAAGAATGAAGCAAAGAAGCAGGCACTCCAAACACAAACGGCCTCATCTGTTACACAGACACAGATGAGCAGAAGCCAAACAACCCCCCAGTCCCTGCTTCTGCATCTGCACTTCACCCCAGCAGGGCTGAGCACAACTTAGGAGCTATTCAATTACCTGTAAAATATTCTTTGAAGGACAGCTCACATTCAAGATTTGCCATCTCTCCCCATAAATTCACCTTTCACAATATTCATCATCCCACTTTTAAAAAATACAAACTGGTTACAGGGAGTAGCAGTGACACTATAACCATTCCCAGTGCATGTGTCCTCTTTGGCCCTGTAGGTTCTCTTGCCAGCTGCATGACATGAAAGAGAGCATCCAAGGACTTTGAGATCAAAGAAGTGAAGGACATGCCTACACACATGGAATGAACAGGCATGATGATCTCCAGAGACAGCTGCATGAGAGACAGCCTGACTGCAGCTTCTGGACTGGAACTAATTCACAGCCCTACTTTCACCAGGCAAGGGCTGTGAATATCCCCATGACTTCCAAGAAAACTTGTGCTAATGTACATGCAACTAACAGGTTTCTGGTGGATATATGACTGCAAACACACAAGACCACATATGACCCTCATCTATAACACGAGGTCACCTTGCTTGAAGTGTGTTTCTTTTTCTGGACACCACTGGGAAGGGTGTTTCGTAAGGGATCCAACACAGACTGATTCAATATGCTGGTGATGCCAGCTTGAGTCTCAGTGCATGAAGGTACAAACACAGAAGCAAGTCAAGGCTTTCTACATCTTTCTAACTCCTCTGCTGTTTGAAGGCCATGGCACTGAGATCCACAGAGGCTGATCCTCCTTTGCTGCTCTCACCCCCCACTGTTCAAGGCTCCCTGTTAGCAAAGGCTGAAAAATCCCATAGCAGAGGAGGACTTTGAACAGAGTTGCTCCTTCTATCAGGACCCAGAGAGGGACACTCCAGAGGCACTGCCATCTCTGGGAATATCTTCAGTCTGCATTGCTTTCCCTTTCTGTAGTAGAGCAATTTCTACAGGCTTGGAATAAGGCATTCAGAGCATTTGCTGGACTAACCCTCCAACTGCAGCAGTGGGGAGAGAAAAACAAATACAATCCAGCTTGGAAAGTAAGACACACCTGTCTACTCTAATAGAGGTTTCAGGAAATCCTTTCTTCCTCTCTGTCTACTTGGAGATCTGGAAAAAATTCAGCTGCAGTACATATGAACACAAAGCCAGATGTGCCTAAACTGCCTATTCTAGCCTCCAAACTGGCACCCTTGGGAGTATACGTGCCATCCTCCATTCGAAAGCACGACAGCTGCATTTGTATGGTGCTACATGGCTATAATTTGTTTTAACTCCAACTTGGCAAGACTGCATGAAGTTAGTGTCCTGACATGCCATATCATTTGGGATCTGCCTGTACAGGGTACCCTGACTAGCAAAGTAAAGGCATATCCAGAGATTGACGTGTCTTCCAGCTGCAACTCACAGCTAGATCTAGGAGGTACCTAGGTAGGTGCACTTACACCTGCGGTAAAATGTATGGCAACTGTGCTCTTTCTCACCCCTCCACATTCAAAGCATTACCACAGCTAGCACCAATATTCTATCTGTACAGGGATTTAGCTGGAGAAGCTGTCAAACTGGCTGCTGTTCTTTCTGTAGCCCTGCAATTCCGGCACTGATTTCCCACAAGACTCATCTGAAAACTTTTTTGCAACCTGTCAGAGGGGAAGAAGGCGGCAAGAAAAACTCAGCAGCTTCAGAAAACCAGAGGGGAAAAAAAAAAAAAAAAAAGGTTCTGTGGCATCCATCATTTTGAAATGTGACAATTTCCACGGTACTCTACCAAGCCCTGATCCCTGAGTCTCACACTGCCGCTGAGCCCATTCCGTGCGACACTGACTAGGCTGGGTGCACTGGAAGCTCAGATGTCAGTGCACTGCCCAAGGCAGACTAATTGCAAAGGAACAGGGACGTGTCCCCAGAGATGCAGTTCGTGTCATGCCTGAAAAAAAAGGTCATACCATCATATGTCAGAAACACAGTGGCGGTTTTATTTGCAACATGTCAGCTGGGGAGACTCCGAGCCATTCTGCTTCATGCACATCAGCAGTGACCCTGTGGGTTTTGGCAAACAGCCTAAGTTTGGGTAGCTTGGAACAAATACACCCAGCAACAAACAGCAACGGCAGATGACTTTTTAATTTTAATTAGACTGAGGACCAATGTTTTTAAATGCAGCTCAATGTCACCTTTGAGGAACAAGACTGCTGAACAGAAATTTCTTTACATTCTGTTAAATAATGGCAACAAAATGACTGATTAATTATGAAAACTACCTTTTAAAAGCCTTGTGGGTGTAGCACAGAGAGAGTGACTAATTTTCCATATCATTCAATATCTGTAATTTGGATTTAAAACGAGATGAAAACAGAAATTGCCAGACTGTCTGTACCTCCTCTATAAGGAAGGAGTAGCTAAGTGAAACCCTACCCTAAAATCCATTGTGTTAAAGCACTTTATTCTATGCCAGAGCCACTGTCACCAATACTCTTGCAGAATCTGCTTTGTTTCAAGATAACAGCCATTCAAGCCTAAGAAATTAATGCTGTGATTCAACAAACCCACAGCTACTTTTAAAGAGACTGCTTGTCATTTCTGTATCTCAAACAGAACAGCTTCATGAGATCTAACTGCAAAGTAATGACAGCAAAGCCATACACTCACAAGTGACAAGAGCAGCAAGACTTTAGTGTGTAGTTGGATATTCTGTTGTAATGTTTCCTAGGCCTCCTCTTTCTTCTATTAATCATCAGCCTCGTTGAAGGCAGAATCAAAACTGTCACTGATCTGCTTTAGGGCAGTACTTCAGACCAGCTTTTTTTTTCTCTGGCATCTTCAGAGATTGCCATCATTACTTAAGACAGAAGATAAAGAAGTCCACATGGACTAGAAACTCCAAGGAAACAGTATTCATGAACTTACTTAGCAACTGCATTTATATACAAATAAACACATCCCCACTCCTTATACATTACCCACGCACCTGGCACATGGTTAATTCCACAGTCTATTACAATTGCTCCAGGTTTGATCCATTCACCTTTTACCATTTCAGCTTTACCAGCTGCAACCACCAGGATATCAGCTTTGCCAACCTATTAAAACAAAAAAACCCAACAAATAAACAACTGCGTATCACACCAGCAGTGGAAAAACGCAGAGCTGCTTCAGCAGCAACTCAGATTAGCTGCAACTGCAGTGAAACTGTGCTCACCCACTGCCATCAGAGGGCTGGAAGGGCATTGTCAGCAATTAAAAGTAGCTGGCAGTTCCTTGGCAAGGAGAAAATCCTGCAGCCAGAAATTATGGCTTATTTTCACACTCCTACCCTGAACTATTGCTAGTCAACACTTCAAAACCTCCTCTGAATTCCTCCATGATTCCCAAGTGGATCATATAGACTACATTTAGATAAAATTAAAACCTTCTGCATATTCTTCCCTTCCTCCCTTCAAACATCCCTGCACATTCAGTGCTAGAAATATACCCAGCCCTCATCAGACAGCAGCCAAGAACAACCCCTGCACAGAACCAGGCAGCACTTCACTTGTGGCAGCACTGTCTTGTGGTTTTCATGTCCAGGACTCTGTAACACACAACTCCAGGGGAAGCTGACTGTTTTTCAGCACTAATATGTGTTCAGGGAGTACTGAATTTGACAGATCTGGTCATGAAGCTGGTGTTAAAGACTCTGACTAAAGCTCGTTGTCAGTTCCTGCATTGCTTCATTCATGTTTGCTTCGGAAGCTGCTTTCGCTTGGAATTTTCTTTTAATCTTCAAGGGAGATAAGCTATTTTTTAGATTTCATTAAGAATCAGCACTTCAATTTTTAATCAACCTAATGATGGTCTTACTGAACAGCAACTTAATGGCATGAAGGATTGCAGCATTTCTGATCTTTTTGAGTTAAATTCAAATACACCTACTCCCTTTTCAGCTTTAATACTTGCCTACAGAGCCTGGCAGTGTTGATGGCTCTACAAAATCTAAGTAGGTGGCAGCACAGCAACACACTATTTCTGCCACGCTCACTGCTAAAGAGGAAAATGGTACCAACTCCCGGTGATAGAAAATAGACTGAAAAAAACAAACCAACTGAGAAATCATTTGGCCTAGCATTTCTTAGCCATTAGAGCAGAAGACCACTTGGCCTTTTTGGTAAAAAAAAAAAGCCAAACACATATGCTGTCTTGCCAGCCCCTACACAGAGATTAGGAAGGGATAATTAAATCTCAGCCCTTGCTCAAAAAACCCCAAAATAATAATTTTATTGTTATAATTAAACCCCTCTAATTCAGTGCCAAAAATAATCAGGATGCTATTCCAGCAGAAGTATTTACACAACCATGCAGTGAGCAGGACTGTGAAACTGTTTCAGATGAAAGACACCCCAGATCTAATGACTCAGAGCAGCAAGACACTGAGCAGCAACGCACATCAAACACCTCCAGCCTGTTCCTACCTCCTCAGCCAGGGTGGAGGTCTTGGAATGGCAGGTGGTGACTGTTGCGTTATTCCAGAGCAGCAGGTCGTGCATGGGAGCACCAACGATCTTACTGCGACCGATCACTACGGCTCTTTTCCCTGTGACCTGGACACCTGCGCCACAGAGAGTCAGGAGAGAGTAAACACAGGTCATTGTGCATCCCAGTACAAACTAACTCAGACTGCTCTGGAGTCTTTTGGTCCGTTTAAGTCCGGCCCTGGTACTTCAGAACACTATTTTTCTTCTTTGTTGTGTGTGAGTTGGGAGGGAGGAAGGAAAAACTGTTTTAAAACTAGTTCTTTTACTACTTAAAAGGAAATGTGGCATCTCGACAGAAGTTTCAGTGTGAAGCACAGCCTTGCAATGTGCGTAGTTTCTCCACTTACTGAAGATCACTGCACTCATGAATAATGTATGGAAGCCTCCTTACCTGTCTGCCTGATAAGTTCCATGCATCCCTTTGGCGTGCACGGAATAAAGCAGTCTCCGAGGTCCCCTCTAGAGAGTTTCCCAGCATTGATGCTACTTAAGCTGCATTTTGAAAGAATAAAGGCCAAGTAAGATTCCCAGCCCCACGACCACCATTCAAAAGAAAAGGAAAAACAACAAAAAGGGTTTTCTGGAGTAGCTGTCGTGCTCTCCAGGGGTGAAGTCAGTTTACCCATCCACATCCTTCTCAGGTGCAACAGCATTGGTTATCTTTTCCGTGTTGATGGGTTTGTCGGAGTCGAGTGGCAGCTGCACTATAAAGCCATGAACAGCAGGGTCTGCATTCAAAGAGGCAATGCACTTGAGCACCTACAACAAGCAAAGACCAAAAAAACTAATGGCTGATAACCTGAAACATGACTGATGTAAAGGAAAAAACATCATTCTATCTGGATTAAAAGATACGCACTTTACGTTTAGTTTTTCCACTCAACAATACATATCACTCACATTTTTAATTAAAAAAAAAAAGCTGTTAAAGCCCCTAAATTTTACATTGTAATGTTTTAGTTTTCTTAAAAAAACCCAAACATCTCAACAGGTTCCAGCTCTTTTCTCGTGACTTAATATCTATGGGCAAGTGGTCTTTTTTTATCCAATGACAAGGCAAATATAAGTTCGTACCTTGAGCTCAACACCAAAGTTATATGTTTTTTCGTCACTTGGTTATATTACTTACATCAGCTTCTGTTGCTGTGTTTGGCAGTTTTATGTGATTGGCACTGATCCCAATCTGCAAATGAGAATAACAACAAATTATCTCATTTCTGAATTGACATTTGATTGATCTGGCTAATCTTTCTATCCAGCTCAAACACAGCTGTGTTCTGTCACATTTCCCAGGTCTATCTCCTGTTTCTGTGGCTACAATCCTATTATTCAGAAACACCACCAAGAAAAAGATTAGTGCTTTGCCTGCTTAGATTGGTCCGTTCTTTAACTGTCCTATTCACCTTTTGACATGAACAACATCATCTTTGCTTGACAGCAGATTGCCTTGAAGTGCCAGCAGAGAAGGTGCCAGGCACCTAGGGAAATGGGGACTCAACTATGTTTCTGCCCTGCTGTAGCATGTAAGGTACCACTCAGTGACAGACACAAGGCAACTTGTGGCATAAGGCCACAGGCCAGGAAAGACAGAGCATCAGCACTTCAGACACATGTAATCTGTGATGATCACATACAAAGTGGCACCAACTCATGCTGCTGTGACCAGTGCACCCCACCTGGCTCTCAGGTTACACAAACACACTGCGTCCTTATAACAAGGAATTCAGGCCAACACTGGTTTCTCCAACATGGGCAAAGCTTGGGCAAAGCTTAGACAAAACTATTTGATTTGCATCTGGATTTTCATAATCAGATTTGACTGACTTTAGGAAGGTAAAAAGCAGTACCAAAAGTCTGGCCATTACCTCAGCAGCAGCCTTCAGCTTCATATTGATGTAGAGGTTCGAATCATCCCGATTTCCAACCTAAGGATGAAGACAGTTGAATCACAGCACAGAATAGAGACCCAGACACAGGCTGAGATGGGCTTAACCCTCAGCTTCCTTGGAGCTGCATCAAGGAGAGAGAGGTATTCTTGGATAACTAAAAGACACTGATGGAGGCCATAAGTAGCTGGAGCTAAGAGGGAAATGTTCTTTCAAGTAAGAGGCAGCTAAAGACAAGTTGTCTGATCTCCTAAATAAACATTTGCACCTGTTGAAAAACCTTAGAAACACAGTGGTCTCCAAAGCAGAAAATACTCCCTGCCATCTGATCTGAGAAAGTTAAATCCTTAACTAATTAACATGATCAGCAGGTGCTGATAACATTCAATTATCTGATTAAGGCTCTCAGATAAGTTGAGCCTCTTTGATACCCAAGAATCCTAATTTTATGCACATATGTGTGCTTTGATGGAGACATTTCTTCCACTGCTGTTTCAAACCTTGAGAATTTTCCTGCCAAGCAAAAAACAAAATAAGAACAAAGTGATGCACAAAGAGAAAGCAGCAAGTGGAACAAATGCCTGTAGTTTTTGGCAGTATTGGGTGCTTCCAGTACAACTGCCTTTCAGGAGACAGCTTGCATCATCCAGTATGCTTTGTTAAAGGTAATACTCCTTCTAACCTTAAGAAAATGAGGGGCAAATAAGGAAAAGCTGATAAGCAAACTCTTGAAACCCTGTTCCCTAGTACAGTCATCCCTGGTTCTCACACGGATTTACAAGCTGCAGGGGTGACTGTATTGACTGATCACCCAGCAAACACTGGTTCTTCCTCCCCAGGTATAGACAAAGGGGCTGTCTCCCCTGTAAAATCTGATGGATTTAGGAAAAGGTATGCCTTGTACAGGGCAGAAATGAAGGAAGAGTGCAAGCTTCAGTAGATGTCAGCAAACACAACACAGATACTGTGCAAATGGGGACGTTCCTGACTACAGGGCAAAACAATAAAGATTAACTGACTTTGTTTTTTTGAGCTCAGAGGACACCAGATGCCTCCCAAGAAAAGAGCACATGTTGTGTGGGGTGCTACATATCAGAAACAGCTCATTGTCCTGACTTCACTGAAGGATAACAGCAGTGAATATCAGTATTAGAGATGAACTCCAAGCCCAGACTGTTTGGCAGCTTACAAAAGTGTCAGACAGCCAAAGAGCTTTACAGGTTGTGAAGGACTCTGAGACAATCCAGGATTAAAGACAGCACAGGCCATGAAAAAAATCCAATAACCCAACAAGACAACAATTTTTGAAGACAGTTCATGAGGTCAACAGTTCAGCAACTTTCATCAAAGCATTCCTAATTAATTTTATTTAAAAAACTTTCCTACTTCCTTCTAAGCACCTGAAGACAAATCTTCTGTAGAGACATCCTTCTTAAAGCCAGTGGAAAACAAAACCAGAAAAAAAACCCCAAAATACAAACACAAATTTGTTTCTGGCATCAAAGAGGAGCGTGGCCTTTGTGTGCTATGGTGGTATCAGCACTAGAATTCTCAGACAGGCACCAAAAGCTCTGCAGGAGCCCAGAACACTGAATAAGGACAAAAGTCACTTCTCTAAGCAGCCACTTAAATTCCTTCGTGGACACACAGTTCCTTCCTGTTACATGACACGTGCTACTGCCACTCACCTTCTGATATAAGCATAAAGGCTTTCCATTTTTTACAGCTGTAAGGGCAAAAAAGTTCTGCCAAACACAGGCCAAACCCTTGTATTGACTGAGTGCTTTTTATCTCTGCAAGCACTTCTGTGTAGACTCTAACACTTACTCACACTTCTGACAGACATCCAATTCAGAAATGGGATTTTGTTTCATCCCCTGCACTCAAAGCCATGTTGGCCAAAGGTAGTTTTGGTTGGGTTCTCTCTCCTCCTCTGCCCCTCTTATGTCTCCATGTTCTGACACAACAGCAGACCAAATCCCTTAATAAACACCCCACTTGGAAGTTTTCTGCTACAAACACATCTCTGAAAGCTGACAGCCTTTGGGGCTCACTCAAGTGCAGAGACTTGGAACAGAGTCTACAAGCACTGTTAATAGGCAAGCAGCTTACTTTCACCATTTCACAAACACAACACTCAAACAGAGAACAGGGTCTGACAGAAGAAAAAAAAACCAACTGAAAAACCCGGAAATGTTTTTGGGCCCCAGTACTTTGGGAAAAGACACTGCAGAACTGTGTTACCATCCCACAGAGAACTCTGGTCTTCTGTTCTTTATAAAATACTTCCACTGCAAGCCAGCTTTGATGAAGCTCATCAGCTGTGCACTTACCATTGCAAAGCAACTCAGATTTTCTGTAGCTGTCATTAAAGAAAACAATACCTGCAAAATTGCGAGTCCCGGTCTGAAGCCTGGAAATTTCTCTTTCATCTCAAGAACTTGCTGCTTCAGTCTGTCTCTCACTTGCCTGAAGAGGGGAAGAAAAAAGAAAAAAAAAAGTAGAAGTTAATCAAGGGACTGACTTCTGATACAGTGATAAGTCATGAGTTGAAAAGGTGACAGATGGGCAGACTGGCAAACACATAGTTATGCCTTGAGTACACAAGTCCCAGCAATGTCCAAATAAGATTGATGTCCATAAATGATTAAGACACTTTGGAACCAGGTTCATTCAAACATATTTAAATATTTTTTTTTTAAGTCCACATTGTGCTGCTTCACCCTCCTGTTCATGGTCACATAGGATACAAGGGTAAAAAAAAGTTCAAAAACTGGCATGGAAACCCCATGAATTTCAAACTCCCTTCTCAAAAGGAACTCCTCTTTCCACATATGCTGTACTGAAATTACCTGTCTTCCACAGGCACCAGTTAAGACTGTCACACATACTGTCCTGGTAAAGGATGATGAATCTACAATGGTAAAAATCTGGAAAATAACTAAACAAGCAAGAGGTACTCAAAGATACCCCTCTTTTGCAGCTGGTCAATACTATGCGTTTCTATTTCTTGTCTGCCTGGCCTAACCCAGGCTGGACTGGCTGCAGTGCTACATGCACCTTCCTGCCCCCAGTGTGCTTCTGAGTGAGAAAATGCCCCCAGCCCAAGGGCTTCCAAACAAGACCAAGATTTTGCCATGAAAGCACAAAGGAGAATGGGAGGTGGACAGAAGTGAGGAAAGGTAGCTAAATCGTGGTGCACAACTCAGATTAACTCTTCAGTAAAGGCAAGTTTAAGAATACAGTTAAAACACAACTTTGAAACAGAGTATGAGAGGATTCATTGATTAATTACTCTAGCTCGGATGTAAACTCATAGTTTACTAGGGAATGTTTTAGAGATGAGTACCCATCACTGACAGATTAGCCACAGAAAGCTCAAAAGCCACTCAAAAGTCACCACCTTCCCCCATCCTTGCACTGCTAATTTCTCAACCACTCTCTGGCCCCACATGCATGATCCTTCACCAGGGAAGGTGGAGGGGAAGAGGTCCTGGTGCCAGGCCCAACTTGCTTTTTCAAATCAGAAATTCTGTCAAAAGCCCAGGTGCAGACCAGCACCACCGCTCTGTGTCCTCACCAGAGGCAGTTGGGATTCAGAGAGAACAACTGACCATCTTATGGGCTCATGGCACTGAAAGGAGGCACATGTGGCACATGTAAGAAATACTCAGAAGCAAAAGCCAGGTAAGCAAAACCCCACAGGACATCAGAGGCTTGAGGGGTCTGTCCTCCACATGATCTCCAGCCCATGTTGCACCCGTTATTCTCAGAGATGAGAAGGTGCCACCATCACAATTAACAAATCCACCCTGTGCCAAACACCCTTCCATTTAAAACACAGGTGGTCTCCTCATGCTGCTCTACCCTCAAATGAGTATCACCAGATCTGTTACCTCCCAAGCGGAACCAGATTTCCCAGACTGGAGGATGTGCTGTGGCTGCCAGTTCATTAAAAATGTGAACAGCAAGGGTACAGGGACAGAGTAAGCAGCTGACACCAGCTGGGAGGCTGCGATTCCTGCCACATGGGGAAACTGCAGGATGACAAAAAGCCAGTGAAGCCAACTCTACCCTGCAACTATAAGCTCCAAATCAGAAATGCCAGAGGCAGGAAGACAGGGAAATGGGAGCAGTACACGCTCTGCTGCAACCCAGCAGCACTGATCCCAGGGGGTGGCTGCAGCTGGCCCAGCCAGAAGCAGCCCTAAGGCTGTTCCCAGTCTCATGTCAGGGGGAATCACAGTCTCCAGCTATATCCCAAATCATACATCTCTCCTGCTGCATCCCAAGTCACACAGTCAGAGCTCTGCTGCAACTAAGGAGCAGCTTCAGAGTATTTATAGGTGTCTGGCCAAGTGGTTCAGTGTCTCTTAACAAGTTTCAGCAGAAGAGGCTGTTTTCAGCCTTCGTTAAGAAACAGTAATTCCGAGGCTTCCTTTGGCTATTACCTCAAGATGACTTGACACCAAGACTGGCTGATGATTTCAGAGAATAGTGTCATAGCAAGGCTTGTCCTAGCAATTCTTCGTGCTTAAGTGACAAAAGTTCATCTCCTGGGCAGCAAAATCACCAACTGCCTCTCCTTACAGTCCGGCTGTAAGCCCCTAGTGAAGGCACCTGAGCTGGATCACGAACAGCCTGTAACAACAACAAAACAATCTCGAGGAGCATCAGAAGGCCCCTGCACGTGGTCTGTGAGCTGGAGTTGTGGGCAGCTCTTAGAGGGAACTATTTTTGAGAACAGTCTCTAGTGTTTCAGTAAGGAAAAGGCAGCACTGGTGTGTGCAAACAAAAAGAAATGCAAACAAACATGAAATGTATTACAATTTATGATGCCCTCGTAAGGGACAGCCAGCTGGAAAGGGTCCCAGGTCTAGGTATTACTTTTATTCCAGTCCTCTCAGCTGAAGAGTAACAACCCACCCAATTTCCCCTGCCCTCTGTGAAGCAGGGCTGTGGTGTGGTTTTACCCCCAGGAGCCACATCTATTCACATTGCTGTCATTTTCTGTAATTAGGCACTAGCTCACTTCCCCTTCAAGCTACAGAAGAAAGGTAACACACAAACACAGGAAAGTGGTGCTGTCAGTGCTGATTTGCTTTAGGAGCCTTGAATCAAGAAATCACTTGTTAGACAGCCACCTAGTGTTAGGCACCACTGCTCTCCAGTGACCACAAAAGCCTCAGGGGCAAAGGTTTGAGAGAAAATTCAGGAAAAAATGAAAAAATCCTTGTTTTAATTCTGCAGACTTACAAAAACCTTATAAAATAATCTTTGCAAGACTGTTCAGCAGCTATTTAGAGATACAGTCTGCAGGTCTTCCCAAAGATAAAAGTTCATATTGATAAACCAACACCACTTTTTTACTAGCTATGTGAAAATTCTTTTAAGTCTTCAAACAAAAAATTTGCAATTCTCTGTGGCTGTTTCTCCAAAAGCCTTCACTCTGACTGAGACCCTTCCTGTGCCCATATGCCCTTCCACAAACAAACTCACACAGCAAACAAGAGTCCAGGGTCCACACAGGTCAAGGACAGCACATGGCTCTAAGCATACAATGCAACAGCCAGCTCCAAAGATTAAAGAACTTGTTAGCCTTTCTTTCTCTAGGCTGCAACAGTGACTTGAATTTAAATTCATTAAGTGAATTTCCCAGAACAGCAAAGGACAAACCACACTCCTCCAGCTCTGCTGCAAATGGAGAGAGAAGCACAGCTCCCATGCCAGGCACAAACTCCCCCCCACACCTGTGGGATTATGTACACACATTGCTCATCTGGTGGCACTGTACTGAAGGTGACATCAGGCTGTGCTTCTGTCCCTTCTGTGAGTAATAGGGTCCGGGGTCTATGTGATACTGCCAAACACAGGACCTGGCAAACACCTCCTCAGAGACAGTGATGTTCTAGAAGATGCCTGTCCCCAAAAGAGGAGGGTTAGGCCTTACTGCCTGGATCATAGATTCCCCCAGGGTTTCAGAAACATGCAGCAGAAACGCTCTTGCTGCAGCCCTGCAGAAATGGCTGTATGAAGGTGATGGTCCTCCCCAGGTCCTGCACCATCCTGGTCACAGCTGTTGTCCCTGCAGCCATTCCTCCTTACAGCCTGGAGCACTGCCACTGCTCACCTTCTGTTTCTCCCACGACAAATCAACGCTGTAGCGTGGACAAACAAGCTCTCCCTTCTCCAAGCCACCGTGGCACCATGTCCTAGCACAGGACAACTGCATTACCTTCAAACGCTGTGAAGAGGCTGCAAGCAACCACACCACAAAACACCCCACTGGTACCCTAATGAGGAGTCTCTCCTCATGGGAGTCACAGCTTGGCTGTGTGAATGAAGTGACATTGGGATGGAAAATGCCTTGGGAAAGTCCATCACAGCTGGCAATTCAACAGATGTCTCCAGTTGAGGGAAGACACCACTTAGACAAGAGAGCTGGAACCAGTTCACAAGTCTCCCACCCTTCGGTCTCATGCTCCACCACTGCATGATCCTGGCACACTGTCATTATCTCCTAGGAGAACTGTCTGCTACTTTCTACCACTTCCATGCTCCCAAGGCTTTTAACCACTTTTTTGGTTGTGCCAGCTCAAATATTTTCATGAGCCTTCTTCAGACCAGATAAATACATGAAGGTGTTTTTGCTTTTTTAGATGCTTTTTCATCATGTCTGGAATTTTAATCCAAGGTGGTCTACAAACAAATCTAAACGTGGGTCTGAGTTGCAAAAGCAATCATCTGTAGGGGATGGGAGAGGCAGCAATTGAGTCACTTCTAAATGTGGCTGGCTGCCAACAGAACAACAGAGTTTAACTTTAACATAAAGGTGAGTCTTTAAAACTTAGAAGAGTTTGCCCCAAAGATGAGTAATGATACCATGAACTGTCATGATCAGCTTTCCATGCTGCAACATTAATGACTCTAACCAGGTCTGCTTCCCAAAACGGATACTTCATACAACACCCAACTATCACATGATTTAATTAGAGGAAAACACATGAGAAACAGATAAAGACTCAATCCACCTTTGTGGGGCTGCAGGCATTCCAGACAATACTCTAGGCCCTTCTACAACGCTTTGTCTTCACAAGGAGCGATAGTGAGATTTTATTCGTTCCCCAAAGGAACAAATGTTCTTTCCCTTCCATCCAGCCTGGTGCACAGATCACAGCACTGTGACCCTGTTGTCCACCAGACAGTGTTTTCTCTTACCTTATCACCTCTTCAGAGCAGGGCCCCATTTTGTTTAAATTCTGTGTCTGCACAGCACCAAACACAAGGGGCTCTTGCTCATAATTGGGGCCACCCAGTGACACTGACAGTTCACTTTAATTTAGCACATCCATAGTGTGGCATCCTTCAGTGCAAGCCTGAAACATTCTGGGTAGGATCTGGTAAATGAGATCTCACAGATAGGGGAACTTTTCAGTTCAGAACACATTTACCTGGAGTTTCAATAGGAACTCCAAAAAACTTTTGAGTTCCAGTCTGAAAATGCTGAGGAGTTGTTTACTGCACTGTTACCTCCAGTTATAAGCTGAGCCTGACCATTGCTATATCCAGTTCTTTAAACTCAATGCACTACTTCCCCTATCCCTAGTGGCTGTGAGGGCTGTTAAGTCTTCCCTGTCATCACGACTCATCAGCCACTCTTCTGGACCAGGAATGTTGGTCCGTTCCTGGTGCTATCAACCAATTCAGGCCAAGCTAGAGGTTTCCAAACCTAGGCTCTTTCAGATGGTAAAGAGTGAACACACAGCTCACTGCAGTGGACATGAGCTGTAAAGAAGAGCCACAACCATGTTTTACTCTGAGTATCTATTTCAGACACAGAAACAAAGGTTGGTTTTTTTCAGGGAATACTAGCAATAAAAGGTGTATAACACTGTATTTTTATTACCTTCAACGCTCCATATTCTGCATACTTAAAGCACTGCTTCTCTTCTCCTTACTAATCATTTGTTTACTGTGCTGTTACACAATAACTTGTCTCTTGCAACTCATTTGCCAATAAGGCCAATTTAACTTGTAGCAAAATCTAACGACTAATTACTAAACAGACACTCAGACAAGTAGAGGAAAGCCAGCCTGAGGTAACTAGCCAGCTCAGACTGATGCATAACCCATCCAACATTTAATATCTTTCACAGACTGTTCCAGCACAAGAGTTTGTGTGTACTGAGAGAAGCAGCCTTTGAGAGATGCATTAACATCAACACTAAAATCCTGTACAGAAAACCACATCTTCTGTGTTCTCCTTCCCATCCACAACCTAACCACATTCACTATCCTCACAGGTAATACTCAAAGCCACTGAAAATGTCAATTTTCCTTTGTACCTTTTTTGAGCCTTCCAAGACTTTAGGGTGTGAATTAACTTTATCAAGTTTTCCTTATTTATAGAGGCAAGCAAACTCTCTCAAAGTATTTATTCTCTTTACAAGAATTATAATGCCACTATCTACCCGATTTTTGTTTAAATAGCTGGTGTGACTGTGAATTAGGTATTTCTTTTGTCTGTCTCTGAGGAAGGGGTGCTCAGTGGCTGGAGAAGAAAGTTCACAATAATTATGAGTTGAGATTTGAGACACACACAAAAACACAGAATTATGTAGATGGAGCACTACTTGTTTGATTCACCTAATTTGTCAATATTTGTCTGACTTATAAACAAATATTTTTGCTTGATTAAAGGGTAAAGTAACAAAACCCACCCCCTAAAAGATAGTGACTGAAAAGGTTTTGCAGTTGATGAAAAGTCAGGGACACTGCCTTTCTACAACAGGCAATTCAAGTGAAAATTCTTAGAACAACCATATGCCTGTCGCTTCTGCTGCTGCTGCTGCCAGACTCTTGACCAGGAGATGAACTCTGGATAATGAGAATTCTCTGGACCAGCACTTCTCTAGAGAATCTGGAAGAAAGGTACAGGTGTCTGCAGGGCAGATAGCCCAATTCCTCAAGCCTCCTTCAAATATTCCACTAGGAAAAGGCAGAACTAGGCAAGGTCCACTCCTGTGGGGTAAGACGTTTTTGCTACACTGGACATAAATACAGCAGAAATAAAGGAACTGAAGGACAGCTGCCATTATTTTTTTCATTTTGTGGTGCCTTCAGGTCAAGATTTGATGACTCTGGAAGACAGACTTGAGCCAAACACCTTAGAGATGTGCTGGAAGCTAAGCAAACCTTTCTCCTATATGTGCCTGTTAAAAGCTCATGCCTCTTCTCAGGTATTTGCACATCATGAACGTCCCCATCTCTGAAAACTGCTTGTTTATAGCTGCTACTATAATACAGAAAACAAACAGCTATAAAAAATGCACCAATTTAAATAAATTTAAATTTAAATAAAGTAAGTAATGCAACATGCACAGCCAAGGAAGCTAAAAGTTTTAATGTGAAAGCTCAAAACACATTCATTGTACCCAAACTAGCATCTTTCTGGTTTCTAGTCACTTATAAACAGCAATAATGTGTAGCTTGAAAGGACCCACTGCATTTCAGGGTCACTTTCTAAGCCAGAAAAGAAACCTCCAACAGGCAAATCACTCCCACCAGCAGCGTGCACAGGCATTGCAGTGTGCTGGCTTCAACACTGCCAAAAGGATCAGGTGGAATGAAGCACATAAGGCTGAGAGACTGCAATACA